TTCTATCTGGGACTTTTTGGAGAACCCCATATTAAATCTGCAAATATGCCCAAGAAAAGGAGACAGCTTGTCGTTGATGGAACTACCCAAAACAGAGGAAAGCGAAGGGAACGAAAGAGGGTGAGTATGGAATTGGGAAGAATGAATCTTGCCTGAGAATCAGAATGAGAATGAAGGGATGAGGAATAACAGAATAAGAGAAAAGGGTCTTTGCCTGATTGTGGAGAGAAAGGAGAGGGACGATTTGAAACGAAGGAACGAGAGAAAGAAAAAGAGATTTTTTTTCCCGTGAGGGTTTTTCTTTTGGTAATTGCAGAGAAAACATGAAGAAATTTTGTGAGGAAGAAAGAGAGAAATATTATATAGAAGGAGAGGAGGGAGCCCGTGAGGCAGCGAAACACCGTCAATTTGGTAAAAGCGAAGGCAGAAAAGGAGGGGGAAAGAGAGCTGCCCGGGGTTTGGCGGGCAGCCCAAACCGAGTGAACTGGGTTTTGGCGCCAAAATTTCAGTGGTTTGGGCAACAACGGCTCTTTTTCCCGCCTTATTAATTTTTGAATTTCCGAATGTACCCCCCATTTTTCTGATTATTATTTATTAATATTATTATTACCCTCACTTGCTTTGGGTTTGGTCCTAGGGAGTGATGCTGCTGCTGGGCACGATAACCAGCGCATATCACATGCGACGTCGTTGGGCAACTGGCACACGTCTCTCCAAATCATTCACCCGTGGGCTTAATCTCAGCCCAGAACCACTGGAAGGTGGGAACCAAAAAAACCATCCCAGTTTTTTTAATATAATATATAAGGTCCACTTAAATTCTTCTTCAGATTCAAATTATGATCATTAGTGGTAAGAGTATTTTTGAAAATGATCCTCAAATTTTTTGCATATTGATTATAGGAAAAACTAATTTAACTGTTTTTCGGGACTCTGCAGATTAATTAACTAAACATTATGTATAATTAATGTCATTATTAATACTGTTATTGTAAGATATATCAGTCCCATAACAAAGCACAACGTTGATGTGTCGGATTGTAAACAATGTTGGCAGTTCATTTAGGTTCGTCTAATCGTCCAGTAAAAGCGTATATATTCAAGTTAATTAACTTGAATAGATCCTTCCACGGGTCAAAAAGGAATAAATCCTTCCTAAAATGTTCGCTGTTCAAACTTCAGAGTTTTTTTTTAAAAAATAATACTCTAACAAATACTATTTTCTAATATAAATTATTATAAATAATATGATTAATTGAAGATAATTTATTTGTGAAACGCCCGGATAACATAAAGATAGATTAATGCGGCATAAATACCAGAATTCTAGATAACTTGCCAGCCTGGGATTCAGTAAATAATACTTCTTCCATGCCTAATTATAACATCTTGTTTATAATTTACAAACAAAAATTGTGGACCCGGGGAATAAGAAATTCTTGAATTTCATTTCCGTCTTTTAAATTAAAAAAAAATTGAATTGTGGACCCAGGGAATAAAAGGAAGAATTGTAATCTCATACGGAAGTGCCCCCTTTCAATTTCATTACCGTCTTTCCCATTCAGTTTGGCCCTTTTCGCGTTTAGGACGGTGCCATCTCCACGTGGATCCACGTCACCCTTTCTCAGTTTCTCTCCCTCGCTATCCATCCATTGGAGCTTGTTTGACCGTAAGTTTCAAAGATTGTACGATCCAAGAAAAATATATACACATGCATATATATTATCTCTGATTTTAAGTTTAAACATTAAGGTAACTAGATTTAAAAACTCAGATAAATTAATTAATTTAGTTAGTTATTTATGAAAACATATATATATTGATTTTTCTAAAAATACTCATTTCAATCATTTGCATTGGAAACTACTGATCTGGTAAAAAAAAATTTAATATGCGCAATTAATAAAGAGATTTAAAAAATTATAATTTAAAATTAGAATTAAAACAAACATTTCTGCTGACTAATTAGCACAGGGGGAAATACGATGCATGATCGTATATGGAAGCTCCTAGTTCAGCTAATTTCTCTTTCTTTCGGGCCTATCCAACTTGATTAACCTGGAACGTCAGGCATCGCAAGGCATGCAACAGCAATAATTATATGAATAACAATTAAAAATATCATTAAAAATACTTATTGGGTATTATATATAAAATCTAATTGTTGGATTAAATTTGATTCTAAATATTATACATATTTCTCGTATTTATTAATTTTTTTAAATTATCTCTATGAATAATCTTTTAACCATAATCAAATAAAAGATGTTAAAAGATATTTAAAAAGATGATTATGGTGTTTTAAGATAAAAAACATATCATATTTTTTTTATAATCAACTAACTTGCCTAATTTTATTAATCCAATCAAACTAATTAAATAATTTTTATGTTAAGAATGTGATAAGCAATAAGAATATGACGTGGAATGGGCCATGCGTAGCAGACATGAGCTAAGGAAAAGAAAATCCTTTGCAGCAGAACGACATTTGCATAAAACGACAGCGAAGAAGTCACCAGTTACATGTACTCCTCCGGTCCTTAATATAAAACTCATTTAACTAATTTGATTAGATTAAGGAAGTTAGGTAAGTTAGTTAATTATAATAAATATGACACGTTTTTCCTAAAACACCATAATCATCTTTCTCAATACCCCCTCTTCTTCTTCTTCTTCTGCTTAATTATGATCAAGGGAGTATACATAGGGCTAATTTAGAGATTATTGATAAATATGAGAAATGGGTCTTATATTTAGAACCAAAACCAACTCAATAATTAGGTCTTATATTAAAGACCAGAGGAGTATTAGAAAACAAAGCCACTTGATTAAAACTTCCCTACCAAGTACGAAATAAGCAATTATATGAAGCTTCTATATTCAATTAAACAGATAGACAAGATCCTGTTCAAACTTTAAAACACACAAAACCTGAGAATATATAAATTTATTAGGTGGTTCCCATTTTGTCCCACTGGAACGAATTTATTTTTTGACGTGTCTCGCAGGGCATATCAGGGGGCAGGTCTGGTAGTAATTATTGGAAGTACGTGTTCAAGAGATTTATTTATTCCATGCATGCTTCGATTTTACACACTTCAGAATTATTTTATAAATTTTATATTCCAAAATATTTATATCTCCGTTATTTGTTCTGGCATGTTGAAAACAACAGGCATCGCTTGTACCTTTCGCTTTAATTCCCCTGCTGGGCTTCGCTGAAAATGAATCTGCCACGAAGAAAGTTTTCAGAGGAAATATGTTTCCCCTTGTTACAGAAAACTATCGCCTTTCTTTCATCTAAACGGCGTTCGAGCGCAGTAGGGATAATTTGGTTTTGCATCCAAACAGGAGAAAGAGGGGAAAGAGAAATGATTGGGGTGCGGAAGCTAGGGAGCAAGTTGGAATAACATTCCAATAAACTGACGTTTGGGCGGCGAGGAAGAGGCTAATAATTTCAAAGCTGGTCTGTCTAATAATGGAGCTTTTCTTTATAACGTTACGCTGCTTTCTGCCTGATGCGCACACGCATTATTGCTAAATGACAATAAATCACATCCATCCATAACCTCACGCCTTCACGTCTATTATCCCAAAAGATTCAACTTTTCTTTTTTTAATTTCGACTCTTCCTAATTCCTTATCTGATAATGAGCATATTCATAAGATAATACTCTTCGTGTCCTGAATATAAGACTCATTTAATTAATTTGATTAGATTAAAGAAACTAGATAAGTTAGTTAATTATAAGAAATGTGATACGTTTTTCTTAAAATACCATAATCATCTTTTTTAATACCCTCTATTTCTCTTCTACTTGATTATGGTTAAGGGAGTATTCATAGAGGTAATTTAAAAAAAATTGATAAATATGATAGATGGGTCTTATATTTATGACTAAAACTAACTCAACAATTGGGAAATATATTAAGGACTGGAGGAGTAATAACACTACCGGTTTTTATTACCGAATGATTCTTATATTTAGGACCAGAGGAGTATTATGTTTCGAATAACTAGTTTACGAATAATGAATAACTAATTAAAATAATAAATATGTTAAAAATATATTTTTATTTTTAAATATGTTCTTATAATAAATAAAGAAAAATGATGAAAGAATAAGTGGAGAAATATGATGAGAGAAAAATAATTAAAGGTAACATTAAAAAAATATATTAAATATTAAAACAAACCCAAATTAAGGTTTATAAAATGGACTATAGTTATTTTTAAATTTGAAGTTTATAAATACAAGAAGAGGAGTACTTCTTTAACTTGCCTTCTTTCTATTCGACTTTCTCTTCTTCACCTCCTTTTCAACTTTCACGACACATCTCAACTATTAAGTCAAATTTTTAAAGGTTTAGTTTTATTAAGTTTCTAAACTGGGTATATCAGGTTTAGTAATTTGGATTTATGTTGTTTATTCATGATGCTAAATTTTAATAATAGCTATGTAAAATATTAGATATATTCCGTTTAAAATTTGATATAATGGTTGAGTTGGGTGGTGAATAGAGAGAAGCCAACTCCTTTTTTTTTTTTTGGCCAGGATGTTCTTGGTTGTTATTCACAGCTAGCACGATACTTTTTTATCAGTTGTCCAAACATATTCTATAATCATGCAATAGCACCTAATTTTGGATTATAAGGAGGCAATTGTTTTATTTTAAAAAATATAACAAAATTCAGAAAAAGCAAATATTTGACAGCCTGCTACATAAGAAGCTCTGGAGCGTGCGTTTCGGTTGATATTGTCAGTTAACTACCATTCCTACTTGAAATTTCAAATCCAGTGAGATGCTTTTATGGGACTTCGTGAACTGAACTGTGTGGGACTCTTCTAGTGGTGGCCCATTAGTACATTGTGAATCCATGTGCCGTGTAATTTCCACAATATTCTGCTCAAACATGCCCACCATATTTATAACTAATTAAAAAACGTTATCAGCGTTAATTACAGGATATAATCCTTGGACTTGTTCACATCCACCACCCAATCACACACAAGATGCTTCTCAAATTGCCTTCTCCAACATCATCACATTAAAGTCCACTATTTCTTTTCACCAACAGTCACAAACCAAAAAAAGAATGTCAGTTCTAAGTTTTTACTGTTAAATACTGCTTCTTCTCAGACATGCCATGATCATAGATCATTGAAAAAGTTTGGCAAGGACAGCCAGTAACATCCAGAAGTTGATCCATTACCCCACAAGAAGCCATCATGACCAGATAAAAAGTTACGCCTCCTTTTTCCTTCTGCCTGTCGAATTTTTGTCCCACCGTATCCTAGGATAAAGCAACATTAAGATTAAACTGCGTCAAATTTTTAAATGTTCAAGTGAAACTGAAAGTCTTCAGAGCATCCATTTAATACAGAGATAATCTCTGAGTGAGAAAAAAGAAAAGAAGGAAATTTGTCATTCACATGAAGTTGTTTGTTATGGCATGCGACTGATACATCAGTAGGTCCATGTCATTTGTGGCCAACTCACTGATATACATTAGCATATTACAAGCGGTTCTTTGTCCTTTCTAAGCCACTTCAGAAATCAGATATATGTAATTTCCAAGTACATGTATTTAAAGTCATGCGCAGTTTCAGTTTGAAGCTACCAGAATCTCCAGCACATTAGAAACTGCAGTAACAGCAAAAGAGTGAGATAGCTTTTGATCCATTATATAAGGTTTCTTTATGCAGTCACAACTTATACTGAATGACCTGGCATGCAAAATGGCGACTGAAGCCAATATCCCAGAAGATGAATCTGCATCGGTATGTCTTCTGATCACAGCTTTTTCAGAATTTGCATATATCATTTCACGTGCTTAGCTACTGCATCTGGATATGTGTCATAAAGTCTATTTCTGGATCGCTATTTGCAAGATCTGGGTTACCCCAAGTAATGTTTCTGTTCGATTTTTAACTGCTGCATGATGATACTGCTGAAGTTGGTTCTTCAACTTTTATAAGCATCTATTAATCTTCTTCAATGCGTGATCAGCTCAATATCATTCATCATAGGACCTACTTCCATGTGTGTCGTAGGATGTTCATAGTCTATGAACGTATTTCAGAGTTTCGTTATAACCAGGACTTTCTGACATGTAGCTGTGATTACAGGAACTTGTACAATTTTTGCCCACACCCGAAAACATCTAATCATGCTTAAATTTTCTAACTAAATGCGTTAAGTGAAATAAGATAGTGATATATTGCTGTTATTGGCATCCATTTGAGCACACGTGGTCCTGCTAATTTGTTCATCAAAGCAGTGTGAAAATTGATGCGATGTTGTTATTCCTTTCATCATAAAAGCAATCTAATTATGAAGGGCCACTGCTAAATTTTAATAAAAAAAAGGACTTTGTCTTGAATAAGAACTTTCTTCAAATAGTTAGAGGGGAAAGATTGTTGAAAAGTGTAACTAGAGGACTTGACAGCTCTAATGAGCAGATTAGAGAAAGAAATAATAGCTTTACGAATATGCAAAGAACAGTTTAGAGGATCATTCCCTTTAATCTCAAATAGAAAGATCATTGCAAGTAAAATTGAAATATGGAAGCATATTTAGGTCGTTTTCAATCTTCAAGCTAAATAAAAATTCACAAATGGAAAAATATAAGTTGAAAGCTAAAGAACTAACGACCTTGTGTATGGCAGTAACTTTAAATAGTGTTATGCTTCAACATTAAATGCCTGCTTGTGGAAGATAGAAACTAATGCTGATTTATGTAACTTAATTTTATAGCAGAAGAGTATACCGGAAGAAGGATTCTCAATGACAGAGAATAAAAGTTCTATGGAATTATCCCCCAGCAAAAAGTCACCAGCAGAATATACATGTAAATCACAGCATTGTCAGCAGGTGGATGAGATAGAGAATCCAACATCCACAAAGTTATCTGAAGATGAAAAGCAACATCAAACAGGGGTAGTAAGTAACAATGTTGAGACAGGAGGTGATAAAGTTGAAGCCATCAACGAGACAGAGATTGAAGAGTCTACCTATCACACAGAAAAAGATGGTGCAGAAGTTTCAAGGCAGGTACGTGCTGAAGAACCAATGACAGATCAATATAAATATTCAGAAGTAATGGCGGAGACTACCCGAAAAGGGATGATAGCTTCCCAGGAAAATGAAAACGCAAGAGCCAAGGGAGAAGAAGATGCTGATTTGGAAAGCATCAAACAACCTACAAGCACACCAGAGACAAACATGGGTCTGATCAATGAAGCTCCGCTTCCTAAGCTTGACTTGACTACCAAGAGTCAAGGTGAGGAAGATGAACGAGCTGATAAGTCTTGCGCCACAGATGAAGCCAGAGACCCTGCCATGCATGTTGAGGACGGCGTTAAAGAACTAAGCTTGGACGGTGTACAGAAGAAGAAAGAAGATATGCCGTTTTTAGTGGTGGGTGAATGTAAGGATCCTGAATCAATTGGGTCAAGTGATAAGCTAGAACATGCTGATAACAAAGAAGATGCCTGCACAATGAATGTTGAAGGAGCTTGGTTTGATGCGGATTTAAAATTAGGTGATAATGTCGATGGTAAGCTTGAAAACCCATATTCTGACCAGGTTACAGATGGAGTAAGTACAGAAGTTACAACTGAAGCAAGTGAGACACTAAACGAGGTTGCCTCAACAGTCTGCAGAGATAAAATCAAAGACATCTCTGAGGATAGCATGACCAATTTGGAAAAGCACCATGAGGAAAAGAGAGATTCACAATTGAAAAATGGACAAGAGGATCGACTGGCACAACAAGCAACTCTGATCCCAGAGGAGACTGAAATAGCACCTTCAAGAGAAAATGTTGAAAAGAGAGTTGAACAGAACATCCTCCCTGTGGAAGAATATGAAGGAATAGGAGAGAAAGACGAACCAAATAGTGGGGAAACATCCTTTTCAACAGAAAAGGTACGAATTTTGCTCTATAATCGAACAATTAGGAGATTTTTAACTTTTGTTTTAGAGGACTTTGATTTCAACCAATCTCTTGTATGAATGTATATGGGTTATTCCATTAAAATGTGAGCCTTGAACTGAGTAACTCCACTTTCTGGCAGATTTCCCCACTAGCCGAGTCGATCACAAAGATCAAAGGTGAAGAAAATGTGATCCCTCAAAAAATTGCAGATGGATTAAATTCTACAGATGCATCGGCTGGGGAAACAGGGCAACCATATAACACTGGTGAATTCCCCAAAACCGAAGCACGGGAAAAACATCAAGAATTAAGCGAGTTTTGCTCTAAAAATAACAAGCGAGATGAAAGTCTTTCTGAAACACAGACTACTGAGAACTTGGTTGTAAAGGTAAAGGAAATGGATTCAGAAGTTATGGTGACAAGAGAAACAATGACAAAATTAACAAAGGATATTGAAAAACTTCAAAAGGTTCCAGATTCACACTTTGAAGATGAAAGAGGTATCAAGGGTGATGAGAAAATCATATCAGAGACAAGAACAGTAGAGGAAGAAGCCATCATTAAACAGTTAATTGCAACTGAAAGTAAGTATGCTTAGCTCGCATTTTTTTAATCTTTAGCATATTTCATCCCCATGCCTGAGGAAATAACAACTTCTTTAAGTTCAAATACACATGCAGACGTATATAAAATGCTTCAAAGCAATAAATCTTTACTCCCATCAACATGTTTCTGTGGCATTGAATTTTAAAACCGTTGAAGAAGAGAAAAGAACTAACAAAAGCTACTACTTTAGCTGCCTCTCTGAATCAATGACAACATTCAAACATCTAGTACGCATAATGACAGGTGTAACTGAGGATGAAGACCCATCAAGACTACCCACACTAGACTCTGCTAAAGATGAGACAATTGGGCAGAGCTCTCATGAAGAACGTGTGGATGGAGAAATAACATTGATTGGGAAGAGTGAGAGTCCCAGACCAAAAGATGAAGTTGAGGAAAGAAAAAAGGTAGCCGAGGTTATTCCAATGTACTATTTGAGTGCTGAAGAACGTAATATAGCTCCAATTACTTCATTATACTTGAAATTTATAAGTTGCTTCTGATAGAAAGAAACTTGCACTCTTTTGTGTAACTTTTTTCATAGCAGACCACCGGACCGAAAGAAGGATACTCAACAGCAACCCACTTGAACAACAATCCAAATGAATGTTCCTCAGCAGAATCCAAAAGTTCTGCGGATTCATCCTCCCTTGACAAGTCACCAACAAAAAATATCAGTGACTCAGAGCACCAAATACTCACGAAGTCGGAGAATGAAAGACAAGATCAAAATCGGGTAGAAGCCACTGAAGACAAAATTCTTGAAGAACATCACCATGACATAGAAGATGATAATGCCAAAATTTCAAAGCTGGCAAGCATCGAGGAACCAAATCCCAAGGTTCATGAAGAGGAGACCTCTATAAACAACAATTACCTTGATCAACATCTTGAATTAATCACAGATCAACATGCAATCTTCCAAGTTATCTTGGTGAGTACAGAAAAAGAAATGATAACTTCCCAAAATAATGAAAACACAACTCCAAAGAGAGATGAAGATGCTGATTTGGAATGCAATCAACAAGCTACATGCATATCTGAGTCTTGTATAAATAATGAAGACATAGACAATACCATGCATGTTGAGGATGAGCTTAAAGAGATAATCTCAACTGTATTACAGAATGAGAAAGAAGGTCAAGTACGGGAGGTTGATTGGAAGGATCCCGAATCAATCAGGTCAAGTGATAAGTCACAGCATGAAAATAATGAGGAGTTTAAATTTATGACTAGCGGTGTTAAAGGTGCCTCCACAGTAACCGTTGCACCTAGTCCATATAATCATGGCGTTGAAGAAACTACTTTTGAAGCTCCCTCAAACAATGAAGATGATGACGAGGAAAAGCTTCAAAACCCATTTTCCGGCCTTGTAGCAAACGAGGAGAATACACATGTTGCAATAGAAGCAGGAGAAACCATGCAAGATGCTTCTAATGCAACCTGCCAAGATAACAACCAGAAAATCTGTGAGTCGGTAAAGCAAAAGATAGATGTAACTCCAGTTGATGATACAGCAAAATCAGAAGATTTAGCATGCCCAAATAGAGATATAAAAGGAGAGCATGAAGAGAAAATCATTCAAACAGGACTCCCAGATAACAATGAGGATGGTAAAATCAATCCGGAGACACATGATGGGGAAAAGAGAGACTTGAATTGCAAAAATGAACAAGAGCTCGAAGTTGGAGAGCAGGCACATCTGATACTAGAAAATACAGAATCAGAAGAACCAACATCTGCACCTAATACAATGGGAACATCAATTTCAACAGATAAGGTAGGAATACTGCTGTGTATTGGATTAGGCACTTTGAGCATTTTCAACTTCGGTATTAGAGAACTTGATTCTTTTTTCTTTTCTTTTTAAAAGAATCCTTTATACCCATGCCAATCTTGTAATTTCAGATGATTTAACTAAAGTACAACCTCTGAACTGACTAACTTTCCATTTTTGCAGAGTCTCTCATTAATTGAGTCGGTTCTAGAGATCAGCAATGAAGAAAGGATATTCCCCCAACAAATTGCAAATAATTTGAATACTAATCATCCATTAGTTGAGGAAACAGAGCAACCAGAGAGTGGTGATATTGTCTCTAAAACTGACATCGCAGAAGAACGTCAAGAATCAAGTAAGTTCTGTGTTGAATATAACAAGCAACATGAACATCATCCTAAAATACAAGGCATAGAGAATTTGATTATAAAGCAAGTGGACACAATAGTGACAAAAGAAACAGTCTTAGAGTCAATGAAGGATGTTAAAGAAATAAAGAAATTTCGATTGTCATACTCTGAGGAGAAAATAGATGTCAAGAAAGATGAGAAAATCACACCAGGGGAATCAAAAGAGATGGAGGAAGTCATTGATAAACAGTCACATGAAACAGCAAAAGACGACAGGGAAAACCCATCTTCTAACCCAGTAATAGATGGGGCAAGTCCACAAGTTGCAATTGAAGCAGTGGAAACTCTACAAGAGGCTTCCTATGCAGCCAGCAAAGATAAAAATAAAGACACCTGTGAATCTGGGGGGCCAGAGGAAAATGTACCTCCGGTCGACAGAGATGCAAAAGGAGCAAATAAGGAGGACATCAGTCAAGCTGGACTAACTGAGATCAATGAGGATAGCAGAATCAATCTAGAAACACATGATGTGGAAAACAGAGAATCATTGCTGAAAAATGATCAAGAATATGAGCTTGGAAAACAAGCAATATTGATTGCAGAAAAGACAGAAGAAGAAGCTCAAGGAGAAAATGCTGAAAAGAGAATTGAACAAAACACATGCTCTGTAGAACAAGATAAAGATGAACCAACTTCTTCACCTGATAGTGGGGAAATATTAATTTCAACAGAGAAGGTAGAGTATTGTCATGCTTTAGATTTAAAAGTTTGGACACTTTCAACTTCTGCTTTTTGTTAAAATGCAAACCCCTGAGTTGACAAACTTCAATTTTTTTTTTTCCCTTTTTTGTAGAGTCTCCCATTAGCTGAGTCCACCAAAAAGATCAACAGCGAAGCAACAATACTCCCACGAAATATTGCAAGTGATCTAAATACTAAAGACCTATTTGTTGAAGACTCGGGTAAATTTGACGTTGATGAGACTGGCGAGGAAACCGAAACTGAAGCCCAAGAAAAATTTGAAGGTTCAAGAAAGACCTGCACTGAAAATGACAAGCAAGATGAACAACATTCTGAAACACAAAGCACAGAGATCTTGGTTACAGAGCACATGCAATCAGAAGAAATGGTGATGGCAAATACAATCATAAAATCAACAAAGGAAATTGAAGAACTCGATAGTGTTCCAGATTCACTCTCGCAAGAAAAAATTGATATCAAAGGTGATGACAAAATTGTAACAGAGGAACCAAAAGAGATGGAAGAAACCCCCGGTAAGCAGTTAAATGAGATTGCATAAGTTAGCGGGTATGCTTAAAACATTGAGCAATTTTTTTGTCTTTAGTGAATTTGATTGATATCCTTCAAGAAACTACAGCTACTTTAAGTTTAAAGATTGTCATGATTTTTGAAATCCCCTGAAACAATTATTCTTTAATCTCATCAGCAGCTTGGCGTGGCTTTGAATTATAGAACTTCTGAAGAATATACAATAATACTAAAAGCTACTACTTTAGCCACGTGTCTGTATTCTGATAAGATTTAAACATCTAACATGTACAATGGCAGGTGCATATGAGAGTGAAGCCCTATCAAGATTACCCAAAACAGCATCGGTTGGACAAGAAAAGATTGAGCACTGCTTTCAGGAAGAAAGTCCTAAGGATGGTGCAGCAATGACTGATAAGAATAAGAGTTGCATACCAGAAGATGACACCGAGAAAGGAAAAAAGGCTGTTGAGGTTTAAACAGGATGATCTGAATTAAACTATGAAAAACATAATACCTGCAAGCATTTTCACAGTCACACACCTGTTTTATATAATAAAACATACAGAAGACCATGCATTCCCTTTCTCCATAAATAATTTTTCCTGATTCTGGAGTTTCACCCTTGAAAACAGGCATTTGATCTACCCAAAACTAATAGCAGACAAGATATCAGTGAGAAACAAGTCATAGAAGAATCTGTTGAAGAAACAATGAAAAGCTCCCAAAATGATGAAATGAAAATCCAGACTTTAAGAGAAGACACAGGAGGAGAGATTGAAGGGAGAAGTTCGGTCTTAAGCCTTCCTTCTGGGCTCATGGAGGTGAGCATCTAGAAATCTGAATGCTGTTAATTTCCTCATGTACGATTATTACGCATGTTTATTTGAATACTATCATATGGTGTGTTTCAACAAGCGCCATGTGATCTGATTAATAACATAGAAGGTAATGAATTTGAAATATTTGTTTCACCATACTACTTCTCCATCATAAAGTGGAGCCTTGTGATACTTTTATTCTTTTATACAGGTGCCCGTGACTACTACATCCAATCAAGAAACCATAAAATCTTTTAAAAGTATGTAATAGTCGTGAAACTGCTCTAAAGATTTGACTAAGATAGCTTTGGCTTTAAAACACCAATAAAAGCATGATATATGCATTTTTTTTGTGGTAATAATCTCTGAATGACAATATTTCTCTCTCCCTAAAACAAAGGTAAGCGAACCATCAGAGACACAAGTTTCTGCTTTAAAACCAGAAGAAAGAGAGATGGAGAGCACTGCTCGGACATTGCCTTCTGCAACAGTCGGGATGGACGCAAGAAAAGAGGACATGGAAGAAGTTGAATGTGATCAAACAAAAATCAAGGAGGAGGTTGTATAATATATGATATCTGAATTTCTTTACTAAATTTCTAATTTGCACTCTCTTGACCGTAACTATGAGCTTCTAAACTTGAGTGCTAAACAGGTTGAAGCCACAGAATCAGAAGGAAAGATTGAAGCAACATCTTCCATAGAGGACCATGATGTTTTGACCATTGAAGAAAACAATACTCTAGTCAAAAGCCCTTCATCTATATTAGGTGTGCCAAAAAAAGACAGCAGCAGCACTAATAATTCTAAAGCCCAGTTTCTGAGACTTGTGAATGAAAACACAGCCATGAAGGAGGTCAAGCCAGTAGATGTAGACCATCTTGAAGGTTCTAATAGTGCCCAAGGGATGATGGATGTAACAGCAAATGAAACAAAATCAAATTGCTTGGGTGGTGATATTGCTGAAAGACAAGAGGCGGAAACAAACTCAGAGAACAGGAACGTGGAGGTTAAAGAAGTGATAGATCAAGAAGAACAAATATCTGATGACGTCAACGAGAAAGATTTAATCACATGCATCAACCATGAAATAGAATTAACCCTTACTGACAACCAATTGGTGCATGCCGAAGATGGGAAGTCAAGTATTGATGTGACAAACACGCTCCTTCAAGAAGAGGAGCTTAGCAAAATGACTGAAGATAGTTCAGCAATCACTGGAGCAGAGAGAGAAGCACCTAAACTTAAAACAGCAACTTCTAGTAGTCCAGAAGAGTATCTTAATACCAAAAGCGGCGAACTTCTAATAGAAAAGGTAGATAAAAAATAACAAGCCAGGGAAGAAAAATATCTAACCAAAGAGAGAATTATTGTGCATTCCAACAGAAAAGCTCTTTTGCCTTTTGGTAACTTTAAGTGAACAATAGACATTTCAACCTTTTCCGTTTTACTGTCATCATCTTGTAACCCAATATGCTGTCTCAGAAAACTCAGTTCATAATCAATTAAAACAACGTTTTATTTTGTTTTCAAATTAGATGAAGTCACAATCACAGTTTTATTTCCTTCTCATTTGGTACATTGTTGTATTTCTACCATTTTGTTAATTTGTTGCTATAATACAGGGTGACTTTGTGGCAAATGATCAAAGTGAAGAGATGCTCCTCCGCTCCGATAACATTCAAACCGAGGAAAATGACAATAACCTTCAAGATCAGGACTCTCGATCTGTTCAGGAAGTCCCAGCATCAAACCTGGAGCCACGAAGTAATCATGAAGAGTTTTTAAACTCATCCCTTGATCAAGAGGGAAATATAAATGCCATCAAGTTTACCCACGAGGTTAGGAAAGAAGAAATATTAATTTCCATTATTTCATAAGGCTCTGTTTATTCTCAAAAATTTTTTTGAACAGGTTTGCCAGAGATCAGGGATAGCCGATAATAATGAAAGCGTCAAAGAATACGCCACAGAGGGTAAAATAACATCACCTGGGGAAGAAACAGAAAATGAGGTCTTACCATTAATAGTTTGCAAATTAATACTTGATGTTTTGATTCCGTGCGATGTTGGTAATATCTGATGAGCATTTTTCCCATGAAACAGGTTGAAGTGTCAACATCCAAACTCCTAGAACAAACAGAGTCAACAAAGTCGACAGAAGGAGAAAAACCTCTGACCTTAAATAATCAAACGGAGCAAAATATGGAAATCACATGCCTCAGTGCTTTGAAATCCTCAGATGCATCAAAAACTAATATTGACGACCCTTCTTCCGCAGCCAAGGTATATGACAAAGAGACTGAAGCAAGTTTTATGAAGAAAGATGACGCTGCCACCGATGTCCCCAAAATTGTGCCTGTCATAATTGAGATTGAAGAAGCGGGCCTAAAGAATCCTAGAACAGGACACATAGAATGTGACACAGACTCAGTTATAGTCTCTAAGAATGAGGGCGAAACACCGAATACAACTGACAAGACAACATCAGACAGCATAGATATCATTGGCAGAGAAGAAGAGAATTTCAGCTCAGAAAAGGAGGAGATTTTGGAAGAGCAGAATGAAGGTAAATTGAAGTTTGATTCTTGTGTTAGGGAAACAGATAAAACAACCACAGTTCAGCACCAAAGAGAACAGTCCATAAGCACAATTCCAACGTCTCTAGATTATCCAACACCATTGGCAGAAGAAAAAGCAACCATGGGGAATGCAGAAGTTCATCCAACGGATGCAATTTCGACAGGAGAGGAAATCATTGATGAAGCTGCAGAAACTTATCTTGTGCACTCAATAGAGAACACATTACCTGAAAAGGAACATGAAACTGTCAAACTTGCAGGCACTTCTGACTTGGAATTTGTAAATGTCACGAAAGAGTGCTCAAATGCCGATAGCCCCCTGCTTAAAAATGAAGGTTTGCACATAGTTTTTAACCAAAATGCCAATTATAGTATGTATCTCTCTTGCTAGTAATATGGCATATCATGATGACACTTGCGAATTAATGCAGTTAATGAAGAAAAAGTTTCGATAGAGGCCTTTGAGTGTACAACAAACAGCACACGTGAAGATAGCGAGACTGTGCAGGGACAAGATGACAAGGACAAAACTTTGGATGGCAGTTTGACAGGTGTTACAATAGAGAAAGCAGAAACTGCATTGGAAAATGAGCCTATTGATGAGCTTCCCCCACAAAAGGTTTGAGGCTTACAAATCTTGCAGCAAGGAATAACAATATTCTTCTAGAGAAGCAACGTAATAACATATTTCTAATAAACACGACAAGCGCAGAAGTTTTTGCTTTTTTTTTTTTTTTTTGAACCCATAATCATGCGCTATTGAGTTGTTAGAATTATCTCATTGTCACATTTTTATTTTTAATTTAAAACCTCATAGCAAATATCTAGAAATCATTTTTTTCATTATTTAAAAATATTTGCAAATTTTCATAAATTTATGGTTTCGCCTATTTTCCTCATATTTTGCTTTGACTTGATATTATTGTGGGATAGATTGTTGAAGCGGCAGATACAAATGAGCAAGTTGAATTGGTTTCTGAATCCACGGCTGAAGACCAAAGAGATGAAAAGATTTATGAAGCTAAAGAACAGAGCATCTGTGAGGACAATGTCCCTGAATCTAGAGAAAATGTTCCGAATGAAAATTTTCAACGTGGAACACAGAGAGAAGGTGACATGCAATTTGAAATTGAACATCATACGAGTGTCCCAGAAGATACAGATGCCATTATGCTTGGTGGCTGTGCTGAAAATCAGGTATATTTATCTTCTTCTTTTAGTTTCCTGAGAATTTTTCAAGAATTGTATATGTGAAACAGGTCCCTGCTACAACTAAAATGACAAATGGAAGCAAAAACATCCTAGAACAGAGCCCAGAACCAACGAGCTCTCTGAAGGAATCTGATACCTTAACTACATGTTCTGAAACCTTTAATAAGGTCGTTTTCTTTTGAGTCAAAAAGACTAAACCAACCTGTCTCTATCCTGTACTCAATTCCCTTTATTCCTTTCCTTTTCTTGTTTGGTTTTAGGATACAGCACCAAACTCAGGGGTTACAGAACAGGGCGGAGGAATGGATTTAGGGAGGAAAGAGAATCTAGATCTCGGAGAATCTTACAAAGGCAAACGAAGACTTCTCTTTTACTACCATAAAAATGTCTGAGGAAGGATCACACGCAGAGTGGGAGAAAACCAGAAAGTCTCAATGGAGAAAGAAAATAAAGCTGAAATATCGAACAACGAAGACAACAATCACACTTTCGAGAGTCTGCCTTGCATGCCTAAAAGGAATGATGTAACAACTATCGATAAAGGAGCTAAAACAAGATTGGATACCATTGATAGTGATAATATACAAGAAGAAAGGTCCAGTTCAGAAGACGTTAGTGACAAGAAGAGACAAGAGAGAGCAGGAGGAGGAAGCGATATGGGTCCAGAGACCACAGACAAAGCTCTTACAGCAAGAGATGAGCCAAGCGCAATGAAATATGCCATGAAGAATAGTAGCATTACATGTCAACCTGTCAGTGATGAGAATAAGCATGAAGTGGTAGAGTGATTTTTTCACCTCCTACCTGATTAATTAATTTAATTAGATTAAAAAAATCAGATAAGTTAATTAATTATAAAAAATATGATATTTTTTTTCAAAATACTATAATTATTTTTTTTAATATTCTCCCTCTCCCTCCTACTTATTATGGTTGAGGAATATCAATAAGAATAATTTTTAAAAAATTGATAAATATAAAAAAATGTCTTATATTTAAAATCAAGATCAATTCAGTTAGGTGAAAAAGTATTAATTTTTTTTCTTGGAGTTTTCCATCTAACATTTTCCTTTTTGGAAATGCAATACAGGAGTCTGAAGCCACTGGGGAGAGCCTCACAAAGGCAGCAGTAGAGCTAACCCGTGAAAATCGAGGCAATGAGCCAAAAGTTACCGGAAGAACAGAAGTTATGGCTCGAGGTGAAAAGGTCAGATAAAATCCTCCGCCCTCTTTCTTATTCGAATGAGAAAAAAAAAAAAAAAGGAAGATGGAAAAGTTGTTTTATTCTCTATTAGGTTCCAATCATCTAAACAAACATTAGGTGGCCGTAAGGGCCAACATTCACCCATCCTGCAAAAATATGATCAACTGATAACAAAGAAAGAAATTACCGGCAACGGAGTTTTACGTGTTCCTTCTGGGCTATCAATGCAACATCACGTATGATTATAACATCTGACTTAGTTTACGAACATAGCAAGCTTCAAGAAACTGATACTATTTTCATATGTTATTTAGTAATTTTGAAACACTCTCTTAAAGTTGGAGAATTTCAAAATGGAACCCAAAGATAACCTAATGCTTTTCTTTATCGATTGCGTATCCAGGACCAGGACCTAGAACCCGAGAGTTCACAAAGAGGATCCATTGAGGCGGCCGATGTAAGTGAATCCACACGACAAATCCACAAGCTAGAGGACAGCTCAGTGGGAGAAGTAGACAAAAAAGCTCCTGTAAAAGCAGATGCTGAGACCAGAGAGACAAATGGAGATATACAGCAAGGTCTTCACAAGCCAGACGAAGAGACAGAGCTAGAAGTTCAACTCGAAAATACAAAATCCACAAACATAACAATCGAAAGCTCACGAGTTGAAGAAAACGTTTCATCTTCCACAGAAGAACCTCTGCAAGCAGTTAAAGACTCGGACGAAGCGACAGACTTGGCAACGAAAGCTCAAAAGGCAGAAACCTCACAATGTGAGGAGGCGAAAGCGGAGAACGAAGAAGACAAGGGGGTAAATGGAAACGAAACAATAGAGCCATTACTGTCTGGTGCTTCCGTCGTGGACGGAACTCCTCAAGATGGGGAAGCCAAAGTTAAGCATAAGAAATCACATAACATCTTATCAGGCGTTGGGTCAAAGGTGAAGCATTCGATTTCCAAAGTGAAGAAGGCCATTACAGGCAAGTCTTCACATCCAAAGATATCATCACCAAAATAATAAGCAATCGGCCTCTGCTGCTCTGCTGTAAATTTTTAGTGTTGTGTGAACTTGATCTTGGTTTTATTTGATCGATACACTGCTACATATAAACGGTTTGGGTTTGGTGCGAGCATGCGAAAGCTTGTGTTTAAAGGATTTCTTTCTTCATTTCTTTATTCGTCTATTTGTTTGCTGCTGCTGCTTCTTTGAAGTACTGCCAAAATTACGAGAGCAAAATAGTTTTTCTGTATAAAATAAATAAGCAGTTTTCCATGTTCATTTCGTACCACTTTATGGGTGCAAGTAGTCATCGAAAGTTCCAACGTATCAACAGCTGGAACCCATGTTTAACGTTTTCATCATCTATTTGCAAATAAGACGCATACCAAACAATGCCACAGATCGGAATTTGGCGGCATCTATTAACTCAGATCACAGGCGTTAAGGCGATTTGCGGCAAAAATGAGCAGCGGTGAATCAGTAAAGGTGGGAACATATTTTCGAATGGGCATTATAACTCGTGCCATTTCATCCCGTACAACATCAAAATTGCATTGTTCGACATGACGCTCTACCTGAAAACAAGTATGATCAGGCCCTCTCTAGATCTGATATACCCCAGATCACAGGCATCAAAAATTTTGCGAGAATGGAAAATCATCAATGAGGGGAACTACTTTGCCTCAACTATTGGGTTTTTCACCCGTCTTTTAATTTAAAAAGAAAAAAGAAAAAAAAGAAACATTTCTACTCCCTCATCGCTTGGCTTCCTCCAGCTTTTTCTTCCGCTGCTTGATAACATCATTTGCGGCCCGCTTTCGTTCATTGGATATCTGAATCAAAAGAGGAGAAAGAAACAGAAAAATCAGAACCAGTGCCATGAAATAAACTTGCAAAGGAATTTTAGCTTGAAAAATATTTTATTTATAATTATTGCGAAGTGTAAATTGCTTTTCGGGCATGATGGCGAAAGGGACGGTATTTACAATTTACAGTACAGCAAATACGTGTCCCTTTCCGTACCAATTTTATGTGTACTGAACAGGAAATTAAGGCGTCGGATATGAAGTTTTGCATGAGATGTAAAAGTGGCATGCTCATAAAAGTAACAGAAGTAATAACAATGCTATAAATAAGTCAACTCATACTCCAGCCTAACCAAGCCCAAAAGAGTTTACCTGCATGGCTTCTAAGAGCTTCCTCTTTTTACGAGACATCATAACCAGAGGCATGTTTGCACTATCTTCAACATTTTGTTTGATATTAGAAGAGGATTCTTCCCCAATCTTAATTTCTCCAGTAGATTTCTGTTCATCAACATTGGAACCCATGGGAGCGTATGAAACACCCTGAAGTTCCTTTTTCAGTTCATCATGGTACTGCTGCTCAAGAATCTTCATCTGTAACCATTCAAATTGAGCAAGTAAATAAGATGATAAAAGATGATTATTAAAAGATAGCAAAAGCATGAGAATCCTCTACTCATTCAACCACTGCGGTGAAACATTCTTATAAAACAGGATACCTTTTGCTTTCTCTGAGCAGCTTCATTGGCCTCTGCTCGATCAATAATGCCTTCAACCAGTAAATTTTGAGGATCATCCAGATCTTCCTTTCCAACACCTGGAAGTGGAAGAACTTCCTTTCTCGCAGCATCTTGCAATCGCTTGATGGTCTTTGCATAGTCAGGAACATAAGCTCCTTCTTCCTCATTGTCAACAAAAGGTGACAAGTGTGGCGGAGGGATCCTGTAAAAAGGAAATCACTTTGATCAGAAAAAAAGGAAAGAAAAACACAAGAGACAGATAATAATCTCCTCTGGTTGTGCATTGGGATTAGGATCCACTGTTAATGGCATCAATCTAGTAAAATCATACTTAAGATGTGAAATGGGGAACTAGAACATTCAACACCAAGCACATTACAGTAAATAATTCAGAAGCTACCTTCCAACCATATAATCCTCAGTTGGCAAAACGATACGTGCATTCACACAATCATATATCCATTGGGGTTGAACGTATTCTCTAGAGAAGAACATATGCCCTTGTACTTCTCTGTCAACAATCTACACATATGACAGCCATAGCTGAGTGCATTTGAAACGAAGCAATAAATCATTGTCACCTAGGAGGTGATATTTATTCTCACAAAACCTGATGAGTGATGCTCTGATCAGATTCTCCAAAAGGTGCTCCCTCCCCATCCCATGAAACGGTACCACCAAAGGAAGGAATAACAAAAGCAGTGACTCTCTTGGTACCTGCATGTTTGTAGCAAGGCAGATGTAAAAACAATGTATACATGCACACAAATTTATATATTCCAAATTCATTCTCAGAAAAATTGTAGCATCAATGAGGAAAACGCAACTAAGATACATGCCATCCATCATCCATAATCTCTATTCGATAGCTTCAAAATTTGATTTATTAGCTAGGTTTCTCTATTACAATGCATTAAAATTGTTAATGTCGCAACATGCAAAAGTGACTGTACCATCTTCTTAGTCTTCAATCTTGCAAGATCAATAGTAGCATGCATTAGTGAGGGAGAATTATACCAGAATATTAAGTGAGGACCTTAAATATTTCTCAGGTATAATCAATTTCCATATATAAATCTCATAATATACAAAGGAAGTACCACAAATAAGTCCTAGCAGCAATTTGAAACATAGATATTGTGCTCAAGTACTCATCCTATTATTCATCAAGAGGTAACATTTTCACACGTTGTTTGCTCTGAGTTCAACTACTGTAGACCTTTTGATACCATTTCTTGGTTAGATCCTTTTGGCACCACCCATGACAAACAATGATTTAACAAATGGAGTAAAGACCGATATAAGAAACTGATTTTGTACCTCCCTACTCAGGAAGAATTTCATATCTTTGAAGAGATTTTTGCACTCCTTAGTATCTTGATCCTCCTCATCTTCACCAGATATATCTTCAACAAGGTGCATTAGTGAACCAGGTTCATTTAAAGGAAGTTGATGCTGAAGTTGAGCAAGTCTTAGTTTGGACTTTTCATCTTCAGTCTGGGCTTCATTTTGCTTGGCCTCAACTTCATCGGATCCATCCAAATGAACAGCTTCAGAATTTGTTATAGATGGTCTAGCACTGGTACTAACATATCTAGACAATGCATAAAGATCTGCATTATTTAAGAAGAAAAAAGGAAAAGAAAAATAATCAGGAGGCATATAAAATATCTGTAAAGATTCAGAAATTTCCAAAGCTAACTATATATTGCGGACAAAGCACCTGCTGCCAAAGCTTCCAACCGAGGATCCAGTATTGGGGGATATTTCACATTTATAGAATGATAGAGGCGAAAATTCACAAAACCAAGGAGAGTCTGCATCAATCCATCGTAGAAGTTAAAAAAGACTGAGCAAAAGTCAACCAAACAGACAAAGATGTGTTATGTACAAACAAATATTAAGGGGCAGGCCACAGAGGGGCATATGCATCTGCCAAAAGGAAAAAGCAATACAAATTGAGACATTAATCATTTTTAAAGCCTATTTGATTATGGTAGACGCATGCGTAAGCTTCGCTAACTGGAATAAAGCAGATAATAAGGAGGCAGAAGAACAAAGACAATATGGAAATGAAAATGAAACCTCATAAAATTGCAGAAAGTTTAGCATGGTGGTGATGTCAACAGTATCAGGCACAACTTGCTGTAATGGATGTGGTGTAATCCATGTTATTGTCTGACCCTCAACTTCAGCCTGTACGGACAAGATGATCAAACTAACATATGCACTTTAGGATTAATGACCATAACAAATGCCCCAATTGATACCTGGTAGTATATTCCTTTGACGGATACAAAAGTTTTTCTCAACTTATGAGTGCGAGAAATGAAAGCTTGCCATTCATGTGCCAATCTACCAGAAACATTAAAGCAAGAAGAATAAATAGGACGGAAAGGAAATAACGAGAAAAACATTTAAACCTAAGCTATTTTGACCAAGTCCACATCCTCAATGTAAAGATGGGGCCACATGGACCAAAATTGCCTGCCAACGTGACAATAGAAAGTTTTCAAATTGCAAGTATGTACCTCCGACATTTATGAACAGATTCCACATCAATTTTTTTGCTCTCTAATGCAGGTAGTGCTGCAAAAAGATGCACTGTTGTAAGACAGTCATCTAATTCTCCAAGTGCATCAACGAACCTTGGATACCTATAAGTTAAGATTAATCAATTTAGCAATTCTTTAATGGCCATAACACCCCCCCCCCAAAAAAAAAATCTATAAAAAGAACAAACATACCTCTCCTTTATAATCCTATCTAGCCTGATTTTGGGTGTTAGTTCACGCAACTTGTTTGCACGTTCCAAGTTTTTCTTTGCCTCTGCTTTCTTTATCTTTCTCTCATGCGTTTTTATTGCTCTATGTATTTCAACCAACGGTTCATGGTGAAGAAAAGCGATATCCTTCACATGGTAATAAGTATGATGGGTTCCTTTAAACTTTTTCTTTGGCTCCCGTGGGGTAATACCTTTGAAAATGCAGAGTCTCCTGAAACATGTAAAGCCAATGTCAGGAGACTTGTATGTCTTCACCAAAATTTTCTTTTCCAGGCCTTTCAATACCCGAGGTACATGAAGAAAAAAAGAAGCACACTGGACAATTAAAATCACACTAACATTCCCGTTGGGCCTTTCCTTTCTGATATTGAGGGATAGAGTAGAGTCATAGTCAAGTACTAGCATAAATCTTATTCTGCATCATACATATATAGATATAAAGAGACGTTTCTTTGATAAAAGGACCTGAAAAGGGGTAGACTGATCTGGAGTAGCTTGAGTGCCTGTGACCTGGTGACATATTTGGCCGCGTTTCCCTCCTTTTTCTTCCCCTGCCGTCCACAGTAAAATATGAAGGCAACAGATGAGCAATAGAAAAATTATAATATCAGAACCTTGGGTCCCTCTCTGAATGGAAAGCATTTGAATTATAACAGACCTCCAGCGAGCACAATATTTCAAAGGAAAAAGATAAACTTCCCAGTTGCGGAGATTTCACTTTACTCCCACTTGTAATTGAAAAGAATATGCAAACAAGTGAGTGTGGCAAAGTTTTTGCGCGTCTAATACGATACCACAATAAGCATGTATGATCATGTCAGATTTGTCATGCACATAGGTCTTGCTCAACAATTATATCATGAAAGACTTTGGGGGGGGGGACTTTGAGAGTAGCAAATTGCAGACGCAGGAAACATTTCGCAGATGAATTTCCGGCGAATTGACAAAAAAGTAATTTCTAGTAATAGCAAGTTGAGAATTTAAGCGGTACTTACGGGAGGTCTGTAGTGCTTCACCATTGTGAACCAGGGGCGACTGGAAACGCAAGGCGGGTGGCCTAAGCAAGTATGGACCGCAGAGTGAGGCAGCCCTAGGGTTTAAGAGGGCAAGGCGGCGTTTTTCTTTTGTTCGTTCGTTTCTTTCCCTCGCTAACGCAGTTCCATTTAGTAGACAAAATTGATTAAATAATTAAATAATTAAATTTAATATATACTCCCTCCGTTCTTTATTATAAGAGACAAATAATCGAATTACGTTGATAAAAAAATAATTAAAATTAGTTAAGAACAATTAATATGTAAAAACTATATTTTTTTTCAAAAATACCCTCATTAATAAGGAGAGAGAGCATGAGAGAGAATAATTAAATTATTGAAAGAAAGAGAAATGAGACGGAGAGAGAGTGTGAATTGGAGACAATAAATATGGGTAAAATAAGAAATTAATACAAAAAAATAGAGACAATTTTTAAGTGTCTCTTATATATAGGAACATGCCATAAACATTAAATGTCTCTTATAATAAGGAACAGAGGGAGTAATATATTAACATGATAGTATGATACTACTATCAGTCCTATTTATAAGACCTTATTTAGTTTCCTGGTCTCCAACTAATAACAACAATAAATATTCTGTAAAAAATGTAATAAAAATTGATAATTACGGGGCTTTATTAAAATAAAAAATTATTATACATACTTTTACTTCACTGATAAATAATAATTAAATAATTAAATCTAATATATAATATATTAATATAATAATTTTTTTAGTTTTCTCGTCTTCGACTAATAACAGCAATAAATATTCTGTAAAAATATAATAAAAATTGATAACTGCAGGGCTTTATTAAAATAAAAATTATTATATATACTTTTATTTCTTTTTTTTTGATAAGCTGGAAAACAAAAGAAACAAAAAAAGAAACTTAGGGCTTATTTTTTTTTTTGTTTGTTTGTTTTTGATAAGCTGGAAAACAAAAGAAACAAAAAAGAAACTTAGTTCTTTATAAAATTGTTTTTAGAACAAGTTTTGAAAACAAAAAACAAAAGAATTTGTTTGGATAATAATTTTAAAAAAATCATGTTTGAAAAAAAAACTCATAAAAAACCATACTTGTTAGATGATAGTTGTGATTGATAATAATAAGTAATGAATAGTAGATGAGAAGAAAATAAAATTTCTCAAAATTTTTCAAAACAAAAACAGAAAAACATATAAAAATTGTTTTGGTTTTTAAAAACTTGTTACTGTTTTTTATTTTTTAAAACAATAGACTAAAAACAACTTACCAAACAAGTTTTTTGATTTTTCTATTTTAAAAAACTAAAAATTGTTTCCAAAACAAGAAACAAACAAGCCCTAGTCTCCCGTGTCCGCGTGCATGAGTCGTATTGCCGTATCAGGGTGCAGCAACGGAAGGCCAATTCCTCCGCCTATAAAGAGTAAATTATCAAATCATTAATCTAAAAAAGTTAAAATTATATAATTTAGATTTTTATTTTCAGAGTGGTTGATTTATCAAGAAAATAAAATAAAAAACGATTAGAAAATAAGTAGACATTACATTTTTAAGTTTTAAGAGAATAAAACCCAGCAAGTATAACAGGACTGTGCAAAACCATAATAAACAATTAAATATTGGTGGCAAAAAAACAATTAAATACTATAAGTATATGATTTAGCTGGGCATAAATATTAATGAAGGCAGTACTGCTGGAGGTGATTTCCGACACTAAATATAAGCTTATTTCTTAGTAAGATTTAAATAAGGAAATACTCCTAGATATAATTCTATTAATAATATCTTGAAAATATTGTAAGAATGGCCTTTCTTCCTTTCCGTGATTTAAAAAAAATGACAGGACAGCACAAAACCATAATAATAATTATAATACTCCTCCGGTCCTTATTATAAGACCCAATTGACTTTTTATTGGTTCTAATTATAAGACCCAATCCATTTTCTCTCTTATATTTATGCATTTTTTTCCAAGATAATCCTTCTAATAATGATAGTTTTAGCCAATATACTTAATTAGCAAGAATATTTTAGGAATAACAACACTTATTTATTATAAATAACCAACTTAACTTACTTCCTTAATCTCCTCAAATAAGTCAATTGGGTCTTATAATTAGGACCAGAGGAGTAATTGCTTGCAAAAAACAGTTAAATATTACATGTTTTAACTAGGTATAAACATTCTTAATACAGGCAACACTATTCGAGTTGATTTTGGATCCTAAATGTTGGTATCTTTTTTAACAAAAGTTTAAGTTTTGGTTTAGGTGAGGGACTTTTTTTTTTTTTTTGGTCACCAGGTACTATCCCTTTTGCTAGATATAACTTTGTTAATAATATTATAAAAATATTGTAAGAACGGATTTTCTTCCTTCCGATGATTTTTTTTTAAAAAGAGCCCAAAATGCTAAAAAGAAAAAGCCCAGACCGTAAAAGAGAGACCTATCCGTGGGGCCCACATTTCTTCTCCGCTGCTAGCCGCAAGTCTGACCCGGTCAAATTGTAAGCCCAGCATTTTCATTTTCGACTTGGGCTGACGGGCTCATTCATTTTAGCCGGAGGGAAAGAAAATTAAAGGAACGGCGAAACTGAAAAATCAGGGAACGTCAAATTGAAGTTCCCGCCACCTGTGGTTACCCTCGTGGCGCCCAAATACGCTCCATAAATAAATTCTCATTTTCAAATCGCCCTTCCATATTTCCACACGGATTCTTCTCTCTTCCCCTTCTACCTGTTTTCAGTTCACTCTACTGATATGGACACTTCTACACATCAATCCATCTTTCGCCGCATCGCGTCAAGAGAGCTGAATGGCTTTAGAGGTTAGATCCTTGTCTTCATCATCTATTGTTGTTTTATTCATAGCGAAGACTGTATTTTGATCGGTGAACTCCGTTGTATGGGTTTATTCTTCAGTTCGAAAACGGGCTTACATGGATGGGATGACGTCTAACTTCAGCGAAATTGGAGTAATGGCTGTAGAGCACAGTGGCGGCGAGACTCCTCCTTTGGCTATCTCATTCTGCAAGGTACTTGAACATTGTTGAAGCTTGATTTCGTATGTCGATCTTTGTTTTTAATGTTGCAATATTATATAAGGAGCCCTCAATTTTCGCAGACTGCCAAAAATTCCCATATCCTTGCCTTGGCCGATGAGGATGGCTATGTAAACCTGCTCAATACTCGCCACAAATTTTCTTCTTCCTCATCATACCAAGAAAATGCAGGTTTCATTTTTGCTTCAATGTAATTTTTTTTTAACATATAAGGAATCTGGTGGGCAATCACTCGTATGAACCTCACCCCACCTTGCATCGCAGAGAAAGCAAAGATTTGCGACTGGGTTGCCCATCATAATGCTGTTTTTGACGTCTGTTGGATTAAGGTAATTCATAATCTGCACTCTCTATCATTTCAACTTTTTACGATTCTCTGTTTTTGACTGGTATCTTGGCAATAATCTAAAATGTATGTAATTAGAGAAAAACTATGTTCTATCATTCGTATAAGGAATAGCTTCATCAATGACCGTGATAAGGTTTCTGTATGCACGCAATCGGAATATAGTGCTTTTTCCTGAGGCTTTTGACAGACATTCTTGACAAATTTTTGCAGGAAGATGCCCAGATTCTCACAGCCTCCGGTGATCAAACTGTAAGCTGTTATGCCATTCAGTTTAATGAAAGTACCTGAATTGGTGTCCTGTTGTGGCCAAGTCTCAATTTATTATAGTCTTCATTCTTAGTTGATGGACCTTGAGTAGAACTGCTCAGGTGATAGAAAAATTATGGCTTGAAACTTGATAATCTTGACTTTATCAAGCTGCCTATCGTGCTGATCTTGTTTCTTCTCTTTACCCTGTTGACTAACTAAGGCACTGGATATAATTGAAATCAAATCAATTTATATTTCACACCAGTTCTACATGCCGTCATTAGAGCTCGGTATAGAGTTTCAGAAAACCTATTAATCCTCAAATCTGGTATAATAGTATCTAACCAGTAACCTTCCTCAAAGTCAATGTGGTTTTGTATGTTCTCACGGTCTGTGCTTGCAGATGAAGTTATGGGACGTACAAGAAAAGAAATGCATAGGAGTCTTGACGGGGCACCGGGGAAGTGTAAAATCTATGTGTTCACATCCAACTAATGCTGGTAATACATTATATCATTATGTTATCCATTTTACTTTTTTTTCCCCCTACAACTCTGGATCTTCAATTGCTACCAGAAAATGCTTATCACAATTAGTGTTTCTTTTTTCCTCCGTAAATTTATAGATATAGTTGTATCTGGTTCAAGAGATGGATCCTTTCATCTCTGGGATTTGAGATGTAGCTCAGCACCCAAAAGCAGGCGCGCGGAGCCCTGCATATGGTAAGTTTTGGTTTCATATTTTAAATCTCCTGGAGTCGTCTTTGATATCTTCTGAAAATTTATTTTGGTTGTAATTTCTGTTTCTTTTCCTTCAATATCTACTTTGGTCGCGGCATTAGTTCAACGGCTGAAGTCAAAGGAGCACATCTCTCATCCCAAGCAAAACGAGTCAGGAGGGGCAAGGTCGGTAGCTAATAGCCTAAAATTCTACGCATTTTTCAATATGAACTTTTCTAACAGGTCCTGTCATCCAGGCTGCTTCCATGAGCATTACATCAGTTCTTTATCTGAAGGATCAAGTTTCCATAGCTACGGCTGGGGCGGCGGATAGGTTAGTTGAAAGCATCCATTGAAGTCTGTTGCATTTTCCTGTTATATACTGATGCTAACAAATGAATGCTTGTTTTTCGCATGTAATTTGTTTATTTCAGTGTTGTAAAGTTCTGGGATACCAGAAACTTGAAGAGTTCTGTCACGCAGACATGCCCTCGTCTCCAGGCATCAGAAAAGGTTGGTTTGAACTATTCTAGGAATTGACACATTTTGGCTTTTATACATTGAAAAATTTGCAGGTCGGATCATGGATGAGCCGATCCTTTCCTTTGTAACAAGAGATTATGTGTTTGACATTATTGGTAAATTCATTTTAGTATATTTGATCCAGCTTAAACGTAATTATGTGGCGGAACAATGTATCGGCAGTGCTGTCATCAGCTTATTTGAAAGAAGCTGATTTTGTGACAAATTTTTATCATTGCTGTTGTAAAGCTATACATGAGAGTATTGACAGTCTCCATACGATATTGTTTCAGGAAAGGTTACATGGCATATCTAGCTTGTCCCAAGATCAAAGTGGAGTATTTCTTTCAGCTTCCTGCATGGATAACAGGTATTTCTTTGATAGCATTTTTTTTCGTCCTTGATTATTTAAAATAATTGAATGAACATGCAAAAATATTTTTAAAAAATGAGTTTTTTTTTCTGGCGTTCTTCCAGAATATACTTGTATAACGTGCTTCAGCTTGAAAAGGGGCCTTTGAGATCTTTCTCTGGGTGTCGAATAGAGTCATTTTTTGTGAAGGTAAGAATTGTAGTTTTAAACCTAAGCTTATTGTTCTCAGTTTCTGCCCTGACACGGACTTATATTTGGTCGTGCAATTGCAGTCAGAAATTAGTCCCGATGCATCTCACATTGTTAGTGGTTCAAGTGATGGAAATGCCTATGTTTGGCAGGTTATATTTCTTACTCTTGGTAGTAGATTATTATTAGCTTCACATTCGTCGGAATCAGTATATGATTTAACCCAAATTTTGCAATTCAGGTCAACAAGCCTCAAGAGGAACCTGTTACTTTGAAGACTCATGATGGGGAAGTTACTGCTGTCGATTGGTAAATGCTGGAACTTAACGTTGCTTTTGCCTGCTGAGAATCCCAAAACCCGAGTTCTTTATTATCTTTTTCCTTTCAGGAGCTACTCTGAGGATGGTAAATTGGCAACTTCCTCTGATGATTTCACAGTAAGCACTACGATGTGTGTGTGTGTTTCAACTTTAAGCATCCTTGAACAAAACCAGAGATTTTTGCACATCGATACCTTCCTCTTCAGGAATGTATAAAAATGCATTTTATTAATGTTATTTCGAGATACTTATGCATTTCAAATGTTTTCCCTATTTCATATATTAGGTTCGGATTTGGGATCATAATAGTTGTTTCTCAAGCACAAAACCTCCAGCTTCCATCCGGAGGAGAGTAATGGCAATGCCTAGCAGAGAATGCAGAAAGCTGTTAATGAAGGATCAAGAGTGGAGTTCCAAATCTCGTCTTGATAATGCTTTTCATTGGAACAAACCAGCAGATGATATCACCCGAGACATGCCTATCACACCACCTAAAGTGCATAAAACCGATGGCCAAAAGAATCAATTTTTATCCATGTCTGAATCCGATCTCACTGTAACATCTGGAAAAACCCCTGAATCGGCGTCGAAGAGCCCCTCATCTGTTTTGAATCCACCATCCTCTATAAAGAGAACTATTAGAGATTACTTTCTAGCAGCTTCATGAAAATTGCAGTCTTACTCTAACTCATCCAGGAAGGATTTTTTTTCAATTTTGCCGGCTGACATGAAGTCTGAATGCTCATGGCTTATTTGGGCAAGGTTCTTTTTCCTCTCTGAATTTGCTAACACTTTTTTTTGGTGAACTTTGCACATTAAGGAATTAAATCTATTGTTCCAATCAACAATTGTTTTTCTGGTTGTTAATACTTTTCAGATATGCTGGCAATACGGTTAAAAAAGGGTTATTGAATAATCAGTGCGTTTTATCATATAACGTGCACTATAGTTTGTAACTTTAAACTTGCTTGGGTGACATACTAACGTATTTGTTATAATTTTTGCAGGTTATTCTACTTGAAATGTAAAGCATATAAAAGAATTGGACAAAGCAGACCGTGCTGAGTATTTTTGTTGTACCATTGTTTGGAGGACAAAATGTGTATATATGAAAGGTGATTTAATAGTTAACTGATCAAGGCTGTAGTGATTGTCTTGCCAGGTGAGGTTGCGTTTCATTAGGAAAAAAATATGGAGCAAGCAAAACAAAATGCACCAGTTACGCACTGAAGAGGAAACATCCATCAATATACCCTGCGCAGGACCTCCTTCAGTAATAAGTAGCAATAAACTAAGAATGATTTGTGAATGAAGTTAAGAGTAAGTGACTTTTGTTGTGAATAAACATCTAGTGTGTCTATATATTTATATATAGTTTAAGCATACTTTTCACCACAAAAAAAAAGGACAAAAGGTATCTATGGAATAGTAAATTAGGAATCAACCAAGTGGCAATAATCTAAGAATCATTATGTGAAGGTTGATAATAAGTTGCTTTTCGGGGAAAAATACAGTTGAGCTGGGTTTAATGAAATCACTGAAGCCAAGAGGTGACATTTCACAACTTAAAAGTATTCAGAAAGATGCTTATGAACTGGATTTCTTGTTCAAGCAATCACATTGGTATTGATATTTCTTATTAACAATATTTCTTTTTTTTTTTGTTAGATTGAGTTGAGCCGGTGTCAAACTAATATCTTCTTTTATCAGTAAAAAAAGTGAAACTGAAATCTTTTTTTTTTTTTATATATATATATAGGGAAAAAAAAGTATGTTTACCCATATGATTATATTCCATATCTAAAAAATTATATAAAACTATTTTTCTTGGTTGATAGTATCCTATGACTTGAATAGAACTTATCAACACGAATTGGCTGATACTTGGTCTGACTTTATCATCACCAACTTATTTTTCTCATTAAAAAAAAATCAACCAAAACATAGTTAGCCACAGAAAATGGATGTGTGAGGTGACATTTAGTTCAATAAGCATTCGAATAAGCGTGATATATCAATAGTTCTCAAATCAACCAATAATTGTGCCTCTCTAATCATTAAGGCCATATTCGATGCCTTATTTTATTCCCCGTTTATAAGAAAAGATAAAAACCACTCTTACCTTTTTTTCCTCCAACTTTTCTCCAATGATCCTTCTAATCCAACTCGCTAAACATTTGTTTGTATAATCCTGACAGGCCTGCAACAAGAACCTAGCCATCCCAAATTATTATTAATCATGCCTTTCGAGAAATACTAATAAACTAAGTGCGCATATATATATATATATATATATATATAGTATTTGATTATTTCTGAATCATCTCCTTTTTTCATGTCTCTTACATATGGCCTGATACCACCTAGCTCTCCACTTCTTTAAAAGCCAGAGCCGCAAAATTTTGTGGTGTGTATATATATTATATCCACACACACACACACACACACACAATGCTGATAATATATTTGAATAATGTTTGGCACCCCTAATAACAAATGAAAGCTAAATAGGTTCATTGAATGTCTTGGTATTTATATGAACCTACCAAGTCTACTTCTCTATAATGAGAATCTCTTTTGTAGTTTTATATTTTGTTTTTCCTCTCAGACTATGAAACCAATCTGGGAGAGATATATGGCATATGATACAAAAATGATTATAGATTCAAAAAAGCAGATTCATGTATCTATATGTATTTGAAGATCTAAAGAAAAGCTACAATGAAGTCCATTATTCAATAGGGGCATTAATTCCACAATCATTTATATATAAACACCGACATGTATGTGCTTTATAACTAACATGCACAGCATCAATAATAAGCGACAAATATTAATTAATTAAAAAGAATCGTATAGTTGAGGGATCAATCACAATGTGGACATGCGAAACAAATTATATAAAATAAAATTAATTAAACCAGCGACTAGTGATTATAGATATAGTGTAGCTGAAGTGAGACAGCTCTCAAAGCCATCAAGTATCAAATCTTTTAAATCAATTTCTTCTCTGTGCTATGGGATAAACTTGATTAATGCCCTTTTGGCCTTTCGGCAGAGTTAAGTCATATTATGGGTCCTTTTCTAACCCCTTCCACAAGAAAAAGAATGGAAAAGTGGGAAAAGAGAGAATAATAATATGAATACTTTTGAAGGATGGTTGCAATAAAGCATGCTGCTTTAATGTGTTCAATTAATCCTAAGTAAGCAAACTGATGGCGATGAGCACAAGAAGCAACACCGGGTACCCATTTGCTCTTTTTGCTGTGCTATTAGTTAATTGGTAGTTCTCATTAAAAGGAAAAAGAAAGAGTTATTGATCCCAAATGCGGATCTGTGTGCTGGATTCAGACTCAAATTGTTTAGCAGATTTTGTCTGTGCAGGAATCTGATCTGTTCGATTGTATAAAGATCAACCAATGGTGGAAGCTAAAATAGTAAATGTATGCATGTTTGGATTAAATAAAGTTAAATCACCATAATTACCATATTGATTTAATTAAGTATCTTCAGTGCCAATAATGAAATTGTTATGAAACTAAAGAAATAGTAGAGAATAAGAGAAGAAAATAAGACAAAAATAGAAGATATAAGTATTTATCATTCCATTCAAGGTACTGAATATATTATACATGGCTTTTATTTATAGGTATAGCTTTATATTTTTGACAGAATCTACAAATTGTATAATAATAAGAGATAATTGTGAGACATAGAGATAATAGGAGATATTGGAGATAATAGGAGATATAGAAAATAATGAAATGTATGGACACATCCACAAAACATTATTATAGTAAAAACTACTATATTTTAAAATTTTATTGACACCACATTTATGGTACTTTTGCTATTATCAAACACTTCAAGGATTAAGTTCTTTATTCACAAAATTATTACACACACACACACATTTAGCTATAAGCAGTAAATATCATAATTTTCAACCTTTTCCTCATTTAAAGTTAGTAGGAAAATTTCCTACTAACTTTAAAAAATTTCAAAATCTTTTCTCGCATGCAAGTTTACTCTTAGCTAGTTTGAATAGTCAATGGATATCGCAGCTCAGTATAAAATCTATATAATTGATTGCTACAATGGATAAATTCACTTTTCCAATTTGTAAGCATAAACAAATTGTGAAGGGAAATTTAAGAAAGACCCAAGAAAAGAAATGTTAAATTTAGATCTGTCTAAACAAAATTCTACCATTCTTTTAATCCAAATATATTAGGTCTCCTGCATTTGCACACTCTTCACTTTTCTGTGTCTTTTGTTTTTTAATCTCTCACTTATAGGATGGTGCATATTATATTATACCATATGTACTCAAATCAAAGCATATTGAAGGTATGGGGAACAATATTTGATGGAAGCCAATAATTGAGAGCAGAACAGTGTGCAGTGAAGCTTCATTCAGGGCACAGAGATTTGCATTGATATCATCACATCTTTTATTATTGGAACCAATCCCTCATAAGTGTGCCCTACAACAAAAAAAAGGGGACCGCTCGAAGAAGGGGAAGAACCTAATTGATGAGTATCCACATATGCTATGCTGTCTCATACACATATTACTTTTCCTTCTCTCTCTCTCTCTTTTAATTTCTGGGAATCTCATGTTTATTCTTTCGGTTTCCATCAGTCCTTGCTTGTCCATGTTTTAATTTATGTTCGTGTCAAGAACTATGACTTCACGTTTTGCACAGTACGAAAACAATGTGTGTGTATATAGTGGAATATGTTAAAGAGGCTTTTTATAATATGTTCTGTGTGATGAGTACTTCTGTGCAGTAACGTTGTTACCATCTTTTAGCAACATTTATATATATATATATGTGTGTGTGTGTGTGTGTGTGTAGTTATTCTATAAAATATAACAGTCACACCCATACACACACACACACATCGATCCACAGTAATAGCTAGCCGCGTTCTACAGCAAAAGTACCTAGCTCCTTGCTCAATTATTTGCTTTTTATTTGACATATATATATGTCTTCACTTTAACAAGGAAGGAAGGCTGTAGCTAGAGATATATACCACAAACCTCAACAGTATATAAGTGAATATCTTTTTCAGATATGTATAAACACTTGGTGACTAATATAAAACAAATACAACCATTAAAAGAAGCAACGAACTGGGTAAATAATATATGGTTGGAGATCACTACCGGAAAACTGCTTAGGGAGGAAAATTAAAAGGTTTGTTTTGCATTCGAATACAATATAGTATAAAAGCTGATAAACATATATATACGTTTACGTCATTATTTGTGTGTGTCTGTGAGTGGAGGGAATAATACAATTTAATTAAGCTATGCTTGGGCAATGTTGGTGTACAGTGATTGATATTATTATAAAAGGTTGAGTCGTAGTCATCCTTTTTTACACAGCCCATTTATGGCACTTGTCTTTAGCTTTATTTTCCTTCTTCTCTCAATGAAAATGCTCTTTGCCTCCCACACACTGTGATGCCTCTTATCTAATGTCACTGTATTTGCGGGTTTCTCTCATCTTGTCTTCCAACTAACTAGGGTTTTCCTCCTTCCCAACCTCTCACATCAATTCACTGATTCTTCAACAATCTTCTCTATAGCTCTCTGGCTATTCGCTTCAGACACTTGATTAAAGCTTTAGATCCATCTTGCTAGCTACCTAGCTAGCTAGAGCCTGCATCCAAGGGGCAACAAGGATATCAATTTACAGTATCCTGCTAGCTACCTTGTTCAAATAAACCTAACAAACAAAGGTATACTTGTGATTCGTTTGTTTCTGTTTCTGTCATTTCTTTCATATTGCGGTTCAATTCTCCCAGTCAACCGGTGTTTAATTAGTGGTTTGATTCTGGATTTTTGTTCTTCAATCTAATTTCGAGTGTACGGAAATCTGGGTTGATTAATGCGGTATAATATAATATTCCAGTTGATCGAAGAAGTTGAAATTTTGAAGAAAACCTGTGCATATATATATATATTTACATATATGTCTGTATGGGTAATGATAGAAGCTCCTGCAATATATATAACTGTGTTGGCCAACTACGGCTAAGTGACCTAGCTAGCTAGGAGGTGATAAGTGAGAGATAGTGAAGGGAAGACATAAAACCCGAAGTAAAGGAGTCATACTTAGCAAGAAAGCCTGTCCGATCAGGTGGTCGTAAGCAGAAGAATATTTTGTTTCCCTTTTATCTTTAGTTCTTATCTCTGGTTCTCTCTCCAAAACAAGAAAGAAAGAAAGAAAATGATTCTGAGGGGAATACTCTGAGAATCAATGAATACTGTGCGGCACACACGGAGTCAAGAAAGTAACTGCATAGGTATGCACAAAAAGTGAAAAAGTAGTGTCTGATGCAAGTAAAGTTTTTCTGTCTCCCCCAACCCTAGTTCTATTCGTGCATGAAAATCTAGTACTTTTTATACATCATTGACCGTATATACTTAGGATGGGGTGCCTCATATATAAACGTGCTTTGGTGATCGAGTGCACAATGCGCATCTTTGATATTCAAGATAGATGCTATATATATGAGAAATTAAATTTATATATTCACCAGCATCTAATGATGAACTCTTTTATGCATTACATATACATTTTCCCAGCCTCTATCTTATATAGCATATATGATTGAAGAATGAGTTTTGTAATGAATTGTTAATGTTTAATTAACTGTCTGGCTATTATTGGGTTGCAGTGAGGGGATTAATCATCATCAATGGCTTCTTCTTCAAGCTACTCGAATTCTCCATGTGCTGCGTGCAAGTTTCTGAGAAGGAAATGCATGCCAGACTGCATATTCGCGCCATATTTCCCACCAGAGGAACCTCAAAAGTTTGCTAATGTTCACAAAATATTTGGTGCCAGCAACGTAAGCAAGCTGCTAAACGAAGTTCAACCTCATCAGAGAGAGGACGCTGTGAACTCCCTGGCTTATGAAGCTGAGGCAAGGATTAAAGATCCTGTGTATGGCTGTGTAGGGGCCATTTCTGTGCTCCAGAGGCAAGTCATTAGGCTTCAGAAAGAACTTGATGCCACTAATGCTGATTTGATTCGCTATACCTGCAATAATGATATGCCTTCTGGTCAAGCTTCTGCAACAAGGATGAGTGATGACCAAGGAGGAGGTTCTACGTCTCTTGGTCAATCTCCTTCTGACTATTATTATCCTTCTCCTTGGAATAATAATTACTAATTGAGGGTCAAATAATTATTATATTGCAGAATAGACCCTTTCAAGCTTTAAGTCACTTGCAAACAACTTTTTGAATTCTTAAAATCATCCCAGTTTTATTTCACATACAAAAATGTGTGATCTTTCAGTTTTCAAAAACGTCTCGGAATTGATGTGGCAACCTTAGACTAGCCTTGTTCCCTATGCCATGCGCTTCTATATAGAAGCATACGTGAGAAGAAGGAACAAATTATTAAAAGTGAGATAGATGACACACTGAAGGACTGATATGATGAGGTCCTAGATAAAGCGTAAGAATAGGTGAATTTATTTCCTGATTTTGAAAGTTTAAAAATGTTATTTGCGAGTGACTAAAGTTTGAAAGAGGTTTGATTTCTTGCGTTATTCCTTAATTATTGCTATATATATTCATCATCATTGAGGGGTGGGGGCAATTAATCAACACGTAATTCTCAAATCCTATTGTGTCTCTGCATATATATATATATATATATATATAGTCTCGATTCCTACTAAATCAAGAGTTTGTATCCATCTATCTATATATATAGGGTTTCTTCTTTGTATGTTCAAATGATTGGGGTGTGTGTATATGGGATGTAGGTATATGTTATTGTCATGTAAATATATATTGTAATTATTATTGTTGTTGTTTTGTAAAAGCCCTCTATCATATATGTACATATATATATGGCACATTGTGGAGCATCTCATCAATGCGTATATACCGCCGAACTTGTCTTTCCAAGCTTAAAAATTAAAAATCCCATCAAAGCGTTAATTATGACATTAATTTACACACCATATTCCTGTGGCCCAAGCAAACTAGACTGTGCTGCCTTGTTAAAATGCGAGGTCACCATCTAAATCAGAATCTTACATAACTGGTCCATTCTGGATTATTTGAATATGATATATACTGTGTGATGTATATGCTTCCAATGGCATTATTGCGCTCTTCCATGAACCCGTAATGAACACGTAAATTAACTTGCCACAGTGAACCTTAATTAATGCAGTATATAATAGGTTGGTTATGATGTACTGTACATACGTTAAGGTACGCGTACGTAATTAACTAAAGCAAGCCTGCAAGGGTCGGGTCTGACTGGTCGCAAACGGGAACGCAAGGCGCCTTCCCTACCATGTCATGGACTCGATACCTGCGAGTGCACCTGGGATTAGTCTGACCGGTTGGACTGGGATACCCTGAGTTAGCGATACCATCCTACTCAAAAAAAAAAAAAATTAACTAAAGCAAGATTTATAGCCAATGAGTAATACTCCATTACAACTATAGCAGGTTGAAGTCACAATCTTGCCATAACAATACAATGTGGACAATTTGAAAGGTGAGTGTCTGGGTGTTCCGTTTTTCAACACACGAGTCTCCAACAACCTAGCTAGCTACCTTCTTATTGCTGTCTTTCCTAATACCACACACACATTTGTGTTGGTCAAAGAGAGAGCAGTGCTGTGAATTGTTGACTTCTTCTTCGGATATATGTATATAAAATACAAAAATTCTTTGGTTTTTGTGTTTGAAGAAGATTTCTTGGGAGATTATGTCTGAAACCAAACATTTGCGTGTGCCTTGTCTCTCGGCGACAGCATCCTGTGGTTTGGATTCGAGGAAATACATTTATATATGAGATTGTTGTTGTTGTTATTATTATTCATGAAAGGGATATTGCCCTGTTCACCCATGTGATCTAAGGGTAAATCTAAAGCCTATATTAAGACAAGTTATCAACATGATGCGGATATAACGCCGCACTTTCTTGTCCTTCCCCTCTTCTTATTTACCCCCTTCTTTCTCTCTTGTATTTATTATCATATATGTGTAATTATAAACACACCCACGACATTTAAAATCTTCAATCAACTACTACGTACGACCATATCTTTTATTACTACCTCAAACGAACTTAACGGCTTACACTGCAAGGCATGACAGCCAGTTAGTGATATATAAACCTCTGAAAAGGTCAAAGTTATAGAGATTTATGTCATCGTATCAGTGAATATTATATCTCACTGCTAATAGAGGGTCGGTTTGATCGGTCGTACATATATATATATATATCTCTATTAAGTATAGATGTGTTTATGTCCATCTACAATGAATCTGCTCTGGTGGGTGTGCGTGTGCTGGTGTATTTTACGAAGATAAGCTGAGTTTGATCCGTTCCAGACTTAGATAAGTGTGTAAAGGGTGAGTAATGTTCTAGCCAGCTAGTTCCTGCACTTGCATACCGACAAAGACGAGAACTTTAGATCACTAGAGTCTAAAAAAAGACTCAGATATACGTATTTTTTCTAACTGCAGATAGGAATTGAACATTATTATCATCATCATCAAATCATCAAACGTTTGCCATTGATGGTCATGCGAGAGAGAGAGAGAGAGAGCACGCGTGGAGGATCATTAATAGTATTGAAGAGACGAGGACATATAGAGACAAGAGAGTTAGAAAATCATGAAATGAAATGGGCCACCACGAACCGCCCAAAGATCGTAAAGTGTGAAGAGAGGAGAGTAATTAAATGAGTGTGGAGTAGTAGTACGAGTTGCGAGTGATTGACGAGACAGAGACACACAAAGAGAGATGCCCAGAATTAAAGCCCAGAAGTGAGGCTAGGGCACATGCCAGCTTATCAAAAGTCTTTCTTCGTGGGGACATTCCACTTCCTTCCTCCCTTCTTTTACCCAAGACTTCAAATAATGATATAAGATTCGGACCGGACCGGTGAGGCCCCGGTGGCGGTCTGCTTCAGTCCTCCTCATCACTATCACTTTGGGTCTGTGTAGATCCATAGACAGATAGGCTTAGGTTGATTCTTATTCTCCTTTTTCCATTTTCTCGTCACAAAAGTGTTTAAAAAAAAAACTCCCAATTTATTCTCTAATTCATTATTCTTTTGGTATTTTCGGGATCATGCCGACTTTCTTTAGGATCCCACTGTTAGTCCTATGATGATTTTGATTTCCAGGGGTCCCATGACCAGATCCTGACAAGATGGTGCATTATTCACACTCCCCCCACTACTCACCCCAAATTTTATTCTCACGTCACAGCCACTTTGGATATCTTTGTGTTTAATTAAGGGTGAAAATTTTTCTTTTATTTCTCCCTTTTTTCTTTTACTCACCATAAAGAATTAAAAAAAAAAATCAAACGATCAGCAGTAATTTACATATTACTGATTTGACACATTATTCTTGGATTACATTCCTATGCTGGGGCTAATTATTAAAAAAAAATAATAAGAAAAACTAGAACCCTTATTGAATGAAATTCCCAACTACGTACCAATTACTGTGCACGTGCAGTAGCAATAGTATACACGTACTTACGTACGATTATTTTTAGCGATATGCCGGGTACTACCGTCCTATGACTCTCAATTTCAGTCCATTTCACAATTGGGACGTCGAACCAGAAGTTTCTGGTTCTAAGTATTTGGATCCATGAAAGCGGGTAAATAAAAAGGCCCATTTAATCCGATAATGCCCGTCCTGACTTGTTTTGGGCCTCTGAATGCCCTCCTCTATGGATGAGGCCCAAACCCAGATAAAAAGGATCTCCCCTGGTCTCCCCACGCCCCCACAGTACAATCTTATAATTACCATTTTGTCCGACAGCACAATGCTAAATCCCGCTCAGACTAATTTTACTTCTCAGGGGCTTTGCCCTCATTTATACCCAAAAAAAAAAAAATAAAGAATAGAAAAGATGATCCACAAATATCTGTGTGGAGAATTAATTATCTAATGATAACTGATATGTTTTTATATACAAAAAAAATACCAATACTCTGAAAGATTTCATAAAGTAAGCATACTGATACTGGAGTTTATACATTTTTGAGCAATTTTTTTAAAAAATATATCCAGCAAAAAAAAAAAGCATTTTTATATTATTTTCTTTTGGGACCTTGGGCGGTGAATAAGCACCTTTATGAATGGCCCAGTGATAATATAAAAGGAAGGAGACAGAGGAGGCCGTTTGAGACCGGAATATTTTATCGCAGCTGTTTGCATGTAATGCGCACAACACAGCAATGTCGCAGAAGAGCAATGGAAGTGTGGCAAAAGCTTCGCCTCTCGGCTTTCGTTCGCAAAAAGCCATTCCAAAGTTTGGGTCTTTTTTCTCCATTTTATTAATCAGTTACCCATTTTTCGAATCTCAACCGTACCCCCACTGAAACTTGTTCCTCATGCAAACCCTCTGACTCACCATGTCTCGCATACGTGTCACCCTTCTGCTTCCCCACTTTCCATTATAAGAAAACTCAACTTCCTCCTCCTCGTTCACCTCACACCTCACCATTCTGAAACTCTACATTCTCTTCACTTCACAACTATCAGTCACCATGTCGGATCGTTCGACACAAATCCATGTCCATCCAACGACCCGTTACGAAGCTGTCACCACTCGTTACGAAGGCGGTCTTAACCCCCAATACCGTTATGAGGGCGGTGCTAAGAGCACCCTCTTCCCGGAGAGCGGTCCGTCCACCGCTCAGATGATTGCCATCCTGGCCGGCGTTCCCATCGGCGGTACACTTCTCATGCTCGCTGGTTTCACTCTGATGGGAACACTCCTGGGACTTGCAGTGACCGTCCCGCTCTTCATCCTCTTCAGTCCTGTTCTGGTGCCGGCCACCATGGTGATTGGGCTGGCGGTGGCGGGGTTCTTGACGTCGGGAGCTTGTGCTTTGATTGCACTGTCGTCATTCTCGTGGGTGATGAATTACATCAGGCAGACGCAGGGGACGATACCGGAGCAGCTGGACTCGGCGAAGCGGCGCATGGCGGACGTAGTGGGGCAGGTGGGCCAGAAGACTAAGGAAGTCGGGCAAGACATACAATCGAAGGCCCACGAGGTGAAGAGGTCATGAATACAATGTGCCATGGGGTTCCAGTTCGAGGGATTATATGGGAAATAATAGTAATAATGCGTCTTTGGTGCGCTTTGAGTCTTTTTGTGATCTTTTACGTCTCTTGTAATCGTCCGGTTGTGTGCTTGTCGTCTCTAGGTTAAGTGCCAAGGCAGGGATGGTTCATATCAGAGGGGAGGTTCTACTCTGTAGATGCGTGTGTCCTGTATTTTGTATTTATATTCAATGAGTCTCGCATTAGTCTCTTGTTTCTTCACCAAACTAACTTCGCATATCTCGTAAGGACACAGTCGTTTCCTTTTCTTTTTTCGGTTAACCGGTCCGATTTGCATTTCATTTCCCACAACAGTGGTTTAAAAACAGAAAAATATGAATAGGACTGACCTCGAGTGGAATGCATAAGTGAAGACTCAGCTCAGCCATTTAAAGTACATTTATGTCAGCGAAATCGTTCAAATATTTGCTCAATGACGATCAGAAAAGGAATTGTATTCTACTGAAGCAAAACAAGCCTGCTAAGTTGACTAAGCAAGAACAAGTTTTACAGTAGCTTCCAAAAAGCACGAGAGTTTCCTGACCCAAAATTGTGTGCATTTAACAACAAACAAGCTGTGGTTGAGTTTAGTGCCCATGCGGCTGGGTTTGAGCTCCAGCTTCGGCGTCCTGGCCACCGTACTCGGCTTTCCCTTTAGAATCGTTGGGAATCCAAAACGTGAGAACGGAAGAAGCAGCAGCGAACATGGCACGGCGAGGGGCCCACTTCAAGCATGAAGCCACGCCAATATGGCTGCTCCAACATGCCACCTGCTCACAAAAAACCGTGTTTCATATTTTCCGCAGACACAACAATGAAATACAATACAAAATGGCCGTGAGGCCAATTTGTTGGCGCATAATGCCCTGGCCAGAGAGGGGCAGCTCCCCGGGAATATACCAGCACTAAGCAATGAAAAGGAACAAACAAAATCCAAGTTCCACTAATCAGAAGTCTTTTGCATCATAGGCTTAGGTTTTGATTCTTTTTTTTTTTTTTTGGGGCACCAAATCTGTTTCAAAGTTCAAACAAATCAAAAGAACTAAATACACTTGCCTCACTTTTCATGTCAATACTCCACGCATGAATGGTTCCGCCTCCTGAGCCTAAGACACGAAAAATCCAGGTTTAGTTCCGATATTCAAAGTTAATACGGTCGAGACAGAGTGATGAAAAATGGTATGTACATCAGAGGAAAACTCTCGACGAGTCACTTTTTGAAGGATATCAAATTCATCTAGATCCACTATCACAAACTGAAGGGGGGAAAGAGGTTTCTTTACACCACAATGAGTGAATTATGAAGATATCAGAGATGGAGCCCACAATTCCAATGGTGTGCATATCAGCTTCTAAGTATAAGACCAGAGGTGCCATAAAGGAGGAGTGTTTAAGAAAGAAACAATAGCATAAATGGAATACCTGCCAACATATACTTTCCATCTGGTGTAAATGTAGCCTCTATTTTTGTACCGGGAGATGGATCTAAACTAAACCCACAGCGCTGCACAAGAAATTCTAAAACAATTAGCTTATTCGAGTTTTGGCCATACACAATGTGTGGAAAAGACCCTACAAGAAGCTGAATCAGAGCTGACACGAGATGAAAGACAAGTCAATTTGAAATTAATACTACCATCAAGGACCTTATATGCTAAACAAAGATAACTGAAATATCTAACCTTCTCTCCTGCATATGCATCGAGAACATAAATATTGTTGTTTGTTGTAGTCAGAAGCATTGATTTGCCATCATTGCTAAATTTGATGTCACAAACCTCCGCTGTATCACCACCGACTAGAAAGGTGTCAAAGGGGCCCTACACCAGCAAGATACCATGCTTGTGAAATTAATTCAGCAACAAAGAGAGCAAAGACTAAAAGTTTGCGTGTAAAAACCTTGTCATAGGAACGAGAGTCGAACAATTTGATAGCCCCACCTTCCATTGCCACAGCAAAAACCAGGCCTTGTTGGTCATATGCAACAGCAGGTCTACCACGTAAACGCAAGATTCCCTGAAAACTATGGGTGAGCATCATCATAACTTTGCCTTTCTCTTTTCAATTTATCTCCATATGCAATATCTACATTTTCTGATGCTCAACTAGCTCAACTGTTGCAGAATGTCATCCTAGGTTAGATCAGGCTTTTTAAACTAGCTCAAAAGAGAAGCAGATCAGACTCATGAGGCACGGTTAAGCAATTTTGATAATTCATGGGTAAGTTGTCTACTTCTCCTTTTCTGCTTGTGAGGATGGAGGTAGCTGAAGACACATTGGATTACATGTATGCCTGGTTTATTTTCTCGACAGTCTTTTGATTATACCTTGAATGTTAGTAATAATTGATAATACCAAAATAAAAAAATAAAAACCAACCTGGCAGGCATTTACTCGGAGATCCCATATTCTGACACTGTGGTCTAGAGAACCAGACATGAAGCTATCATTGATTGGAGACATGCAAAGCGAAACAACTCTGCAAAACAAAGTACAGAACATAACCATCATGCATAAAAAGAAATTGATATGAACAGCAGCATTGGCATATAATACTCCTACATTGGAAAATGATAAAAATAAAATTGTTATGAAGTGGCATAGTAAAACAAATGAAAAAACTAAAAATTATATAAGTCAAATGAAATGCTTAACTCTGATATAAAAAGTCTCTTTCTTTTCTAGAACCTTTTTATCTCATCCACAGCCAAATTAATGCGCCTTATATTTTGTGTCTGACAGAATAATGCATCTGTATAAGGACAAGCAATATAACTTGAAATGCATCAATCTTCGGTAATTTCACCAAATTTTCTATTGCATAGCTTTCATAGGATTTTCAATAACTTATTATTTAAAAATTTCCTTGTACGACATTTGGTTTCCTCAGGTTTTTATTTAAATAAAATAGATACAGAAACCTGCCCATTTTGCAACCTTTCACCTTTCTATGATAATAGCGAGAGACTGAGAGCACAAGCCACATATTTGGAAAAACATATAAAGCATTAAATATTAATAAGTCCAAACCTGTCTTTATGGCCTTTGAAGTACCGCAGGCATCGGTTATCATACATTGATAAATACCTCAACGATTCTAGCATAGTTGGGAGGGGAAAAAATCAGTAGATGCACTCATCTTTCAAACAAGACTCTGAAAATAATCTCAAAACATATTTCCATACAGAAAAGCTCACCCCCAGTAGACTCCAAATTGTACTTTGAAGAACATATAACAGAGCTTGGGTGATGAGTAAAACAAATTCGATCAGTGCCATGTTTCTTATGATAAGTGGTCTTCAACAGCCTGGAATTTATGACAAAATGTTTTATGCATGCATAAATACATAGATATAAGTACAAAAATATTCATTTATGGATCAGCCAGGTAACTCATATAAATGAATCATCGATCATAGATTCCATGTCAACCAAAATAAACTAAGTCATGTTGAGTGATGTAATTATACAAATTATACTTCTTCCATAACAAAAGGAGGCACTGAATAGCTAGTCAAAGTTCATGCATTGAGTTAGTAGGTGTTTTTATCAGAATGGACTTTTCATTGGAATTAAGATATGAGGTTCAGGTGCTTCAAGCTACCAGAGACGACATAAGCATAAGTTGGGAATGTCAAAAGATTATAAGCTTCTTATAATTTACAATTTTCCGAGTCTTATGGTATTTCCTACATTTATCTTTAGAAGTTCCACTTAGATTAAACTTCTAATCCTTCAGGGAGTTCTGCTTAGACTGGTTTCTCAACAGTTGACAATGGTAGTGTGCCAATCACATCACATCAGCAGCTAGTATACGCATTTCATGAAGTTCAATATAGATGTTTGACAACAAATTAGTAGTATGTTAAATCAGATAAAAACTTCTTCAATCTGAGAAAACCAAACAATCATTATACACTGCAGTTTTCATCTCATGCGATGAGCCCCTTATCATTGAGAGAAGCAAAGTTGAAAAAGTGTGTAGTAAGTGAACACAGCCAAAACAGTGAGGATACAAGCTCCCATGCAGTTAGAGCATTGTACAAGAGACTAAACCAAACGTGCAATTACAACTATCATAATGGACTACTTAACTAAAGATTAATATTTCACAGTGTATTCACGTCTTTCCAACAACAAATCAACGATTAACTCACTTAGCATTTGCAATGTCATAGAGCCGCACCGAGTCATCTTCACTGGCTGTAACTAGTAAATCGTCCTTACGATGAAAATCAATTGAATTTATCTTCCCAACCTGAAAAAATAATGATAAATTCATGTCAAAGACAGTTTTTGGGTCGTTGCCATTATTCCTTATTAAGAGGGCAACAGCGACGTTAGGGTATCAATTCCAAAGTTGCTCTGATAATAGTGTATATCGCTGTAAATGAGCTGAATCATCGTGATAACAAAGGGATTAAAGATGCACAATTTACCCAGAACAAAAACACTATTCCCGTTGTGCATTTGGGACCAGACATTGTTGAATAACCGTAAGCAAGTAGCTATGCCCCCAAAAAAGGTCGAATTACTAATTACAGATTAATACAAAGAAAGTACGGCCCAGACAGAACGTAGTTAACCGATTCCAGTACAATCTAGGTCAAATAATCAATTAAAGATGCATGATTATCTAAAATCAATAACATAAACCTAAAACTGCAATGATTGCCAGCTTGCGTTAGGCTGATGAAATCAAATTAAAATCTGGAAATATTCGTATTTCCCTTTGAAGAGAAGAAGGAACTCACAAAGTCGGAGAAAACTGCACCTATTGACATGCTGCGCACCATATCATCGTCAAGTTCCGTTAGAGACGTCATAATCGCCGACAACGCTCCCGCCAGCGGGGGTAAGAGTAACAGAGAGCAAAGAGTGCACAACTAGGATTCTGTTCAGGGTTCCTCTTTGTCCGCACTATGTGCCTCCATGAGTGTCTGCAAACAGTGAAAAATAATTCACTCAAGCTTCTGGGCCATAGTCCAATTTATATTCCCAACGGATATGGCGGGTAAACGAATTTTTTTTGGGTTATTTATTGTTGTTTATAATTTATAATTATAATATTTATTGCTATTTTTATTAACAATAAAAAAAATTTGATTTATATTATCGGTCTTTAATATAAAAACTAGTTGACTTATTTAAATAAATTAAAAAATTGATTAAATTAGTTATTTGTAATAAATATATTATTTTTCTGAAATATCCTTATTAATCAGTGTATAATGTATTAGCTAGAACTACTATTATTATAAGAATTATCTTGAAAAAAATAAATAAATATGAAAGACAGTGTGGTTTGGGATCAAAATAAAAATCAAACAAATCCTTATATTAAGAACCGGAGGTAATATATACAAAGAAGAGGATGGATAATATTCATTACTCTTGAAATTACAATGAGCGAGGACCATCATTATCTACATTGCAGAGAAGAAGGAAATTTTAGGTAGAAAAAATAGAGAAAAATAATTAATTTTACATGAACAATAATAATATTATTAGACAATTATTATTATACCATAATTTTTATTGATGTAATTTTATAAATGGAATTAAAATGTGCTAAAGATGTAATTAAACTATAATATTAATCTTAATCTCAGTTCATAACATTTTATTCAACTTTTTTTTATTTTTAAGATAATTTTTATCCAATTATTTCATAAAGTTAAGAATAAATTTCAAATTAAAAATATATAATATAGCATTAAGAAGCAATATATTGATGGGTAAATAAGAAAATATCAGTACTGTATTTAAATTGATGATTAAAATACAATTAATATTTTCCAAAACATTATAGCCGCTATCTCAATCAATCAATTTAGGGTTTGTAAAAATTAACAGCTCTTATGACTTATGAGTTACGGCTGGAGGAGGATTCCGTTAATTAGATTATAATTTATATTACGTAGAAATGGACAACTGTTGCAAATTACTCGTACTCCTTCAGTCCTTAATATAAGATCCATTTAACTAATTTGATTAAATTAAGAAAGTTAGGTAAGTTAGTTAATTATAAGAAAAGTGACACATTTTTCCTAAAATATCATAGCCATCTTTCTTAATACCCCTCTCTCTTATACTTAATTATGGTTGAAGGAGTATCCATAGGAGTAATTTAGAGAAAATTGATAAATATGAGGAACAGGTCTTATATTTAGGACCAAAACTAACTCAAGGATTGGGTCCTATATTAAAGACCGGAGGAATATTATTTTTAATTTTTTTTATTGTGACCGGGTTTAATTAAAATTTTTCTGAATACAATCAATTTATATTTTCCAAAATATTATAGCGGTTACCTTCATCAGTCAATTTAAATTTCATAAAAGTTAACAGCTATGTTTTTTTGCCAGAAAAAAATTAACAGCTGCCACATGTTAGACTGTAGTTGTATTCCATTACTCAATATAAGCCGTTTTTTCAGGTTTGATCAAAATTAACAGCTAGAAAAAAAAAAATTTAACAGCTGTTTTTTTTTTCCAGCAAAAATTAACAGCTGTTATATGTTATTACTGTAGCTGCATTCCATTAATCAATGCTCGTACTTCCTCGCTGGTAAAAAAAAAAAAAGAAAAGAAAAAAAAATCAATACTTCCTCCAGTTAAGTTTTGGGCAAAAGGAATAGTATATATGAGCCGTATGAGCACGTACTTCCTCTTGGTTCTGGTCGACCACCGGGGTCACTGAAGTTGTCTTCTATGGAGTCGTTTGCTCCTTTACTTGAAAAGACCCGAGTCCCGCAACCATCACTGCAAAAGTACGCCGTGATTTCAGTATTTTCGAAGCTGCGATCAGCACCAAAGTATCTGGACCTTCAATCGGAACCCGGAAGAGATGCCATTGCTCAGTGCCTTAATTCCTCCTCCCCTGCCATTGTAGATCAATCCATTCGTGAACTGTGCCGTCTTGTGACAGACTCCGTAGTGGGTATTTCTCGCGGGTTGCTCGAACTTCAATCCGCCCTTGAAGGAACCGACCCAAAGTTCGTCTCGGTTTTTGTAAAAGGTTTGGGCTTTCTTGTTCGCCTTGGTTTTCAGAAGAATAATGCCACGTGGCGGTTCAATTCCACCGAGACTCACCCTTTTGTTAAGGTAGCCAGTTTTGGCTAGTGTTATTAACGTTGAGACCGTTTGAAGGAGAAATCTTGAAGCTGAAGTTTTAATGTACGTTACAGGTACTGTTATCCCGGTCGGAAGTTCAACCCGAACTCCTGCAGCAAGTCTGTCTGTTTATGTTGCAGAATAAGAGATTGGGAATGATCGATGTTTGTGAATTTTTAAGACCATTGTTGAATTTTTCAGTGTTAAGACTATTAGCTCCAGAGTCGCCCTCCTCCTCATTTACAATGCAACTGATTTTTACCATGGCATCATTTTGTTGCTCATTTCCCTCTGAGTCGATGCCGGTTTTTAAGCTGCTAACGGGATGCCTCAAATATTTTCCTCACAAGACCTCCGAAGTAAGCATAACGGTGAAAGCTTTGAATTTTGGAATATGTTGCTTTAATTCTACTCATTAGGTTTATTGTTGTAGTGGAACGTGGTAGTAATTGTACCCTTTCTTTAAACTTCTCAGGACTACAAGAGATTTGTAAGTTTCGTAGAACAGATAGTAGAGGCATACATAGTGGTATTGAAAAAGTTGGCTGGAACAAGATCGGTATGGTCCTAGTTATTTTTATATTACCATCACGAAGGTGTTTACTTTATCTATGCAATACTGTATTTACAGTTCCCTTATTGATTTGAATCTGCATTATCAGCTGCTCACTGAGGCTCAACAAAATGCTGTTGAATTCCTTGACACAATTCTTTCTCTAGTCACTTGTCTTCAGTGGCATGGTGGCGGTAATGAATTCTTATTTGAACTCTCAAGGCGATTGCTGTCTGTACAGAAAGATCATGGGTTGACATGGCTTCCTGGTTTATCATCAACTATGGTATCATTATGGACAATCCTTGTTCAATCAGAACTTGAGCATGTTCAAATTTCTATTCTGAAACTCATTTCTACAATACTGAAGTGGAAATATGAAAATGGTAAGATTTATAGTAGCTATTCTGCTTTTGGATACTATGCATGCACTCAAGTTGAACAGACAGAGTAACTGTACAATATTGTATATTTAGAATTGCGACGTCTGTGTTTTGAAATGCAGTAAAAGAATATTCATAGACTTTTGTTGGACCTGAATTCCCCAACCAGGCGCATCTGATCTGGGCTGTTCTAATTTTTATTTAGATCAAACTTGAGCAGTCCGTATTTTTGAAATCCAAACATCAAAATCACAAAAATAATAAAACGTGGACCGTCCATATTTGATTTAGGTAGTCCAATGATATATGTAAAGATGTGCAGAGGGTCTATGTTAGCTTATGCTTATGCTTTTTTGTCCTTTGGTTGAGAAACAAAATTCACGTCCTTAGGCATTCAATGTGCTAACTATTATGCAATTGTCTTGTGCTTATCATCTGCAGAGATCCTAAACTCTCCTTATATAGTTCTAGATTCCTGACGGTCTTGCTTTGCAATATCTCGTCCTATTGTATTTTTCTTATGCACAAATTCATTAGAAAATCCTTGTACTTATGTGAATTTATATTCTCCTCTTATGTCCTAAACTTTCCTGGATATTCTTACTTATAATTATAGTTACTGATGCAGATAATACTATTAGCAGAGCTAAATCTATCCCAGTGGAAGAAATTTTGTTCCTACTTCCTGTCATAAGCCTTATGTCATCTCCTTCGAAACATGTGAAAGGGCTGGCTACTGAATTGCTTTATTTATTGGAGAAGCTCCTTGTTAAAGTGCTTTTGGTACCACAAAATGAACCAACCACTGAGGGAGTTCATTATCTCAGCACTCCGGGAATTATAATTTCAAGACTTTTGCACCATCTGTGGTATCAGGTTATGTGTCTGCTATGTAAAATTTATTACCTCTGTTTCCAATGTGATATTAATCTTTCTTTTTTGGTGAATTGGAAAGTATGGTATTTCATTATCTTTAATTGGATGTGTCAAACTGCTTTAGTCTTAAATACTAGTAGTTTGCTAACTCAGTGATGTGTTACTGGAAAATGGTTGTTAAAATGGTGAAAACAATGGCTGTTTGCAGCTATAAATTTAGATCGTTTAGAAATATCTTTTTGGCTGTTTCAGGACAGAGGATCTTCATCTGGAATTTTCCCTCTGAATATGACTTTGGGTTTCTCAAGTAATGAAAGCGTCAATGAAGGCATGATAATGTATGGTAAACAAAATTGGGTTTCTCAAGTAAGAAGGTTCTGTTCATCAATTGTGAACCAACGAAAATCAATATTACCTCTCTCTCATTCTCAGGAAGTATTTTTGACAGGTATATTACTTAGATAAAGGGAACGCTGTTTAGCTTAACGTGTTAAAAATGTCAGGGATTGATGTTATTCTCAACCTCTGTCCTTGTAGAAATGCCTTTGTTACTCAGCGCTGTTGTTGGCATTCTATTAATTCATCCATCGATAGGAGCAGCAGCTGTTGATTCTTTGGTTACCCTTGGTCTTGTGGATCCCAAATTGGGAGTTCCCTTACTGCTAACAATTATGTTTTACAGTAATATATTCACAAGAAAGGATGTCATGAGCCATGATATGCTGGTAACTTTTTTTGGTATCCTGGGGTGGTGCTTAATTCATTGGATTGTGTTTTACTTTATTTCCATCCTTTGTGAGTATCATTCTGTTTTTCTTTCATCTTCCTTGTAGCTAAAAATTTTTGAAATGTTGCCGTCACTTGCTTCACACTCTACAATGATTCCACTTGTTGTTCAGACTATCTTGCCTATGCTTAACAAAGATGGTGAAGGGTGGGTACTCTGCCAAACTGTCTATATTGTTTTTAGATTTTGTTTATTTTTCCTGGATTGGTGTGGAAATCTCTCTTCTGTCCCCCCCCCTTTTTGTAGTAATAATGTATTATGGTGCTTCATCTATCACGGGGCTTCAAATATTGCTTAAAATTACTGATCTTCATGTTTTAACTTTGAACTGATGTCACCTTTAGTTGAAAAAAGGGATCCATAATTACATTAAGCTTTTATGCTTCTTTTTAGCTGTTATTCTTGATGGCTTCAAATAATGTGGGCAAATGTTATTTCATTTCAGGCTCATAATTGTGAGAAATTTGTAGAAATTGAGAATTTTATTCGGGGCTTTCCATGTGCAACATCTTGAAATGTTAGAGGAATAGGTTTCATGTCACGAGTCTTGTGTGATCTGTATAACTTCCTAGCAAGATTATGTTAAATTCAAGTAATAGTATGGTTTTTTCTTGTTATATGCCTAACTCTATGTTTCTCTTGCCACAAGTTGGGTTCCTCCATTTATTACTCTTATGTCTAAAAACAAAACGCCTCTAACAATTTTTGGATTTCAATTTAAACCAACTTTATTGTTTGTTTTTGTGCATTTAGTTTGTTGTGTGCTACGGCAACTCGATTGCTGTGTAGAACCTGGGAAGTCAATGATCGAGCTTTTGGGAGTTTGCAAGTAAGTTTTTCATTGTCATCTTTACTGTTTAACGTTGCAGAGCCGTGCTAGTTATTTATAGAAAGATAAAAAATAGGAATGAAAAATTAACTACTCAAGAACATTTGAATGATAATGGACTGGAGAAGTGAATTAAAATTGCGGTTTTGGAATTAATTTACCATTTACTACTTTAATTAGATGGTGGCATGCAAGGTTGTTAGATTTACTATAGGAGCTGTGTAATTAACTTGGCTTACCTTGGCATGTTAGGGAGCAAGAACTTGAGAGATCTAAGAAAGAGGAGATTATTAAAGGACTTCTACTGATTCACTTTTGCTTCAAGAAACTAAGCCAATTGTTCTTAATTGTTAGAAGTGATGCAAGCGTGGGAATTCCTTGCTAACTGTGGGTGAGTTAGTTGGAGGGAGGTATACTTGTAATAAAACTTAGCATGTGACACGGGTAGACTATATAAACTAGATCCATGTATCATTATAGTTCTGTTGATGATTAAAACGTCCATCCTGTATCAAAGTGGTATTAGAACCACTCTCCAGATGATAGCACCCAAGACATGTTCCCAAGAGCAATTTGATGACCTTGAGCACACTGTCAAAGCTTGTCCATTACAAGTTTTAACTGTTTCCAGTAAGGCTGGCTGGTGGAGCCTTTAAATTTGTGCTCAGCCATTATGCCTGATTTGAACCTTGCTTGATGCTTTGCAAGACGAAGTATCATGTTCTTGTTTCTCACTGTTTTATTTTTTTCTAACTTGTGCCTGGAATTTTGGATTCGAAGTGTCATAACAGATTTCCTCCAACTTAAGATATTCACTATTTAGATGCTGCTTGATTGATCGTTACTGGCTGTTTCATTAAAGTCTTATGGTTAATAGGTCTAACCTTTTCTTCATTCTTCTTATTAGGGGGTGTTGCTTGCTAAAGGGTTTACTGATTTTGTGTCAGATAGAATTGTATGCATCAGCCAAGCTGCGTCCATTCGAGATGTTTGCCAGAAAAACCCTGATAGGGGTGTTGACCTTATCTTGTCTGTTTCGGTGTGTGACATCTATATACTGTTTTCTTGATTCTTCTTGTCTGGTGCATGCTTTTCTGAGATATCATGCTTTTTGTGTTTGCACAACAGTCTTGCATTGAGAGCCCAGATCTGCTAATTAAATCTATTGGCTTGCAAAGCCTTGCCCACCTTTGTGAGGCTGATGTAATTGGTAATTTTCATTTTACTTTGTGAAGGATATCCTGTTGAAGGATTCAGCTGATTTTATGAACTCAGTTCTTTTGCTTACAATTAAATTATTTGTTTTTGCTATGTATCTGTTCAGATTTTTACACTGCTTGGATTGTCATTGAAAAGCATGTGAAAGATTACCTTGCGGATCCAGTTCTGGCACAAAGGTAAGCACGCCTGAGCAGAAGCTTTGATCCCAAAGTAATGTTTTTCACTATCACAATTATCGATGATGTTTTGTTTGGTATTCTGGAATCCTGGATGTGAAAGTGGTAGTGGGTGTAGGAAGTGTATCATAATTTTGTCATGTTTGATATTGTTGAAAACTATTTCCAAAGGAATCAAGATTGCACAAATTTGAAGGATAGTCTTCCACCACATGGTCCCCGAAATTGTGATGTGCTTTATATGGGAACAAAAATTTGAGGACCTATTGAAAATTTGATCAGAAGGATCTATCTCTTGTCTTTTCTTTCTCTATTGTCTCTTTTCTCTCTCTCCTCTCTTCCGTCCCTATGCGTCTCCCCTTGGCTTTTGGCAGGTTATTGTCTATCCCAACTGGAGCAAATTCATCCTTTCTTCCATCCCAATCTGGCTAACATTCCCCATGATTCATGTGATTCAGTTAGTTAACATCAGATATTTCTCCTTCTGTCCCTCTTGCAACCTCACCCAAATCTCCTATGCCTAAGCCTTATTCCTCACCTTTTTCACATAAACTTACCCACCAGAAGCCACTGATACTTGGCTCATCACCTCTATGTCTCTTCTCTGGGTTTTTTTATTGATCTGTATCAATGCATCCACTCCAAATATTAGAATGCGATTGTTTCTTGGTAGAACATACTGCCTCATAATCAGCTGTTGTGCCAGCATTTGCCATTTACTAAGATGGGGTGCGATGGACGCTGAAGCATATTCAGAAGAGGCAAAAGGTGTGCTGCAACTTCTATGGAGCATTGTTAGCTATAGTCATGCTGGCAGCGAGATACAATGGGAAAAACCAAGAATCTCAGCCCTACAAGCACTTACACAGTATGAGGTATCTCTAGTAACCTGCTTGAATTGACACTGGCAATTTTTGTAACATAAATATATTTTTCCAATGATGTTGTGCTGTCCCACCTTTTCAGGTGTCATATCTTGAACAGAGTATACCAGATTTTAAAAAGAGGAACTTGGAGTTGCTATTTTCTGAGACAAGTCCCAGTATACTCAGGGTTATGGAAGACATTCAAGTCAAAATTATAACATATGAACACATGTGAATTATTTTCTATAGTCAATTTGCTGAGTTGCTGAGAAATATGATAATATGATTAAATTTCATAACCTGTCAATTTTCTCCAGAAATCGGCGAAGATCAATCAAGGAGAAAAGAGTTACAGGAAGTAAGATTGAAAAATTGATGGATGTATTTCCTCAGGTTATATTTTCTTCAGGTATTATAATATTGGCTGTTCTCGTTCCTTCTTACGAAATTCTTACTAAGATGAATTTTGGATCTGATATTGAATGGAAAAAAGAAATAAAATGTTTAAACTTTGAATTGATAATTCTCACCTGTCTCAAGCATTTTTTGTGGACCTTTGGTTGGTTAATTCTGGAAAATAAAATTATCACCTTTTGCTGAAATATAAACGAAACCATTAGTAAAATTCTCTTCTCATTAGCTGATAGAAGATGATAACCTTAATATAATTTAAAGAATAATAAACAGTCCTTGATTGAATGTTACCAATTGTATCAGCAATTATTTAATTAACGGACTTAGTTTGATACTTCAATAAGCAGTCCTTAATTGAATGTTACCAGTTACCAATTGTATCAGCGATTATTTAATTAACGGACTTAGTTTGATACTTCAATTTTCTTTTTCTTTTTGACATATAAGCCTCCTATTTGTAGGGAAGATAACTGAAGCTAAGGATTTGCCTGGTGCTGCCTTAATATGTCTGTCTTTCACTCCTAAAAAAGTGAATGAACAGCAGAGACAGAAAGTAAGATCTTTAACAACTAGATTTATTCTCTTGGTTATTACATTTTTAAGGTGTGTATGGCATGCATATTTCTTAAAATTGTTCAAGAACGAAGTATACCATGTTTCCAACTTTGTTTCACATGAATCTTTATTCCCTTGCCATTTGATTTTCAACAAAATTTGGGCAACCCTATCAAAAGTGCACCCATGGAATTTCAGTTTTCCCATTTTATTTTCTAATGTTTATTCCAAATACTCTTTTTTGATTGCTGGTGTATTTCATTCTGGGATTGGATTGCTTGGCCAAATGATTCCTTGTACTTAATTACAAAACTTTTTGTCACAGAGAAAAAAACAATTATAAATCTTTGCACCAAACACCCCTCTAATCTGACATTGTTGACATTCAGGGAAGAGATGCACTTTCTGAGTATGTAAATGCACTTGTAGAAATGGCTGGTTCACTTCAGCTGTCAAGAAATATTTTGGTTGCACTTATGGCACTGCAATCATGGAAATGCTTCATGCGACATTGGATGAGGGCTCACATTTTTTCCCATAATGCTAAAGCACAGTCTGCTGTACTAGATAAAACTTCTAAAGCTGCTAGTACTATGTTAAAGGTTTAATATTTTGTTTTGTAACTTTAAAGTACTCTTTTTGGGCTGTATTTAGTTATTGGCATGTACTGCACAATTATGCGTCACATCTGATTCAGCTTGTCGTATTATATACTTGCAGAGTATGATAGCCATAGGAAATGAAGCTATTCCTAGATGTGCTGAAAACATTGCATTGGCTGTTGGTGCTCTCTGTGTGGTAAGAACTTTTCCATGGATGTGAGCTTGATTATAAAGATTATAGATTCCGACTAGCAAATTTTCATGTCAAGCATATGTGACAGATAAATCCACTGCTGGTGGGATATGTAAAATGTAAAGGCCCTTTGCAGAATAATAAAACTTGTAAATTGTAACTTGTAACTTTGTTGACAAATATGTTTTTGCTGCATGGATGATCGTAGAAGCAAGTGTAACCCTGCATTGTTTCTTACCCCTCAATTCTAGTGACTGCTGCAAACTGAGATCTTTAAATAATCACTTGGGGTTATGCTTGGGAAAAGGGTCATCAAATTAGTTAGTCAACTCTGTTGACCATAATAATAGGTAACTTTTCTTATGATTAGCATCAAATATTTATGATCTGACCTTTCTTGATATTGTCAGGTGTTGCCTCCTTCTGATCATACTGTAAAATCTGCTGCATCAAAGTTTCTTTTGGAGTGGTTGCTCCAGCAGGAACACGAACACCGCCAATGGTCTGCTGCAATTTCCCTCGGATTGATCTCAAGTTGCCTCCATGCAACTGATCATAAACAGAGATATCATAACATCACAGGGCTTCTTGAGGTGCTACTTTTCTTTTTTATTGGTTAACTGATTATGTCTCATTGTTTCCTATGAGGATTTGGAATCCTTGTTCTTTTCTTGAGATGTCTTATTTTCATTCTTTCCATTTTTCTCTCTTTTTTTTCTTTTCTTTTTTTTTTTTGGGGGGGGGGGGGGGAGGGGACAGGGATTTCCTGATGTGTATGGTATTCAGGTTTTTCTTTAGAAGTCAGCACTTTTGGTGCCGTTTTTTACATTATTTTATTCCTTATTTAAAGTAATCTAGTATTCAGCATTGGTTAAAGCCATATGCAGGTAGACTACTCGATATTACTATTGAAAACAATACATTTTAAGCAATCAACGATATTGCTTGTTTACTATTTCTATTAATCATGACATATCTACTCATGAAATATTTACCTTTTTTACCCATTTGTTCTTTACTTGTGAAATTCATTATTTTGAACATTATTTTTCTTAATCAAGAAATTTTACTATCCTTTATTAGAACATTGTACCATTGGAATTTCAGGTTAGTGGCAATTAAAAATGGGATATGGGCAAATCTGGGCTTTTCACCCTGTTTTTCCTGCCTCTTTTTTGTGCATATGATAGAACTCACCCAAAATGTATTAATCACAGCATTCTTCCTCTCAAGAACAGAAGGAAGTTACCATAGAAGGTAGCTCACACAAAGTTCTTACAAAAGAAGACATAGAAAGATAAAATGATGAAGAAAGATGATCTTCCCTCTACCCATACAGGCACTAGAGAGGCCAGAGTTCTCCTCCCTACACTCATAATGCAAAAATAGGTCTTATCCCTTCCAGGATACACCCACGGCTAATAGGAGCCCAAAAAGTGAGTCACACAATCCCCAATACACCCCTTTCTAGGTCAGACCCACACAGCACATGAAACTTTATTGAAAATAGTGGGAAGCTTTAGTTCAACGCCCCAGACATTCAAACAGTGGCTTTCCTCTTTCCTCTATCTTTTACTTTTATTGATTTGACCAGTAAAAGCAGCTCTATCACGATATAACTTGAGCATTTAGGAGATTCGATTACCACTCATTTTTTAGCTTGTATTGATGATGATTATTTTTTTAAAGTTGGAATGTTCTAAGCAAGATATTTGGACTCTCATGAGATTATTTAAAGTTACACCACACTGATGGTGTTAGCTTTCAGGTTCTACTTGTTAGCAAAAGTTCCCTTGTAAAAGGAGCATGTGGGGTTGGTTTGGGTTTGTCATGCCAAGATCTTCTTACCAGAACTGGAGCTGGTAACAAATCTGGTGTGGAGAATGACGTGGACAGGGTTCCAGAGTTTGATTTACTAGGAAGAATAGTTAGGGCCTTATCTGCAATGATTTGTCAGATCACGCGAGCTTCTTCTGATGTTCTGGACAGTCTATGTTCTTGCTTCCCATCTGTAGAATTTTTTTTTAATACTGAAGCAATTGAACTTCCATCTGATAACTGTAAAGACTTGGAAGAAGATATCTGGGGGGTTGCTGGACTTGTTCTTGGTTTGGCTTTCACCATTAGTGCTGTATACAGAGCTGGAGACCTAGACTCTGTTCTCAAAATGAAAAGCTTGATAATATCATGGATTCCACGTGTAAACTCACAACTTCAAAGCACTAATTTCCAGAATGAAGAATCCAAGGTTGCTTTATCAGTAGGATCCTGTATTTCAATTCCCATAATAGTTTCATTTTGCTGGAGAATGGAATTGATGGATGAGACTGAGTTGGACCACATAGAGAGTGGCTTTAAAGAGTTAATTTCTGAATTAATTGCTGTGAAAAAATCTGGCATGTTGCACCAGAGTTTTCTGATGGCATCTTGCTTCGGAGCAGGGACAGTTCTTTCATGGATACTGAATGAGGGGTTTCATTCTACTGAGGTTGACTATGTTAAAAGTTTCTTGGAGCTGTTTAGAAGATGTTACTCTGATCCTTACCCTTCTCTTGTGAATTTGGGTGGTATGCTTGGAGTGGTTAATGCTATGGGAGTCGGTGCGGGGATTTTAGATATGCAAGCTGATTATCAGAAGAAGGTATTTTGATAGTATTCGTAGCATCTATCTTACCGGGATGGTTAACTTTTTTCTGGTCACATTTTTAAAACCCATTGCTATTTGATGCACAGCAGGAACCTCCTTCCACGGGCCTGCTGCATAAAGGCTCCATCTATGAAGCATATTTGACATCATTGGTGCAAGAGATGTTTCTTCTGGCACAAAATTCTGATGATAATCAGCGGCAACAGTTTGCTTCCTGGGCTCTCTCTTTTCTCCGGCATCATTTGCTATCCAAGGAACTATTGGATGTCGATGGTCATCAAAAAGCCTCCGTTGCTCAAAGTTTTTCTGAGGACAATGTGGTTTTGCAACTTAGTTTGTGGCTTACAGATTTAAAAAATGAGGTAGGTGCTTCCCTATAGCTTTTTAGTGAATTGTTTTCAAATTCGTTTAATAATTGTATCTTTTTAGTTGCCTTCTGTCAGTGTTTTTCTTTGCGTGTTTCTTGCTTTAAATGAATTTAATATTGCATTATATGCTTGAATGAGTCATCTGTTGCATAGCAACCAACATGATCTTCACTGCAGTTGCTTTTGTCAAATTTATAGAAGTCATCATTTCAATGCTATATCATATAATTGCTTGTGTGGCTTACGGACAAGTGACAACAAATGTACATTTAATTTATAGTTACTTCTGATCCTCCTAGTTTATCCTGGATTTAGTAACTATTACATTAAGGGAAATATTTTCATTGAATTTTCTCATTATATATCTCATACAGGTTCAGGCAGCTACTATTGTACATGTTAGCACAGTTGTTACTGTATTGAGGTGCCTTTCAAAAGCTCCCAGATTGCCAAGCTTTGATTGGGGAGCAATTATCAGGCGTTGTATGAGATATGAAGCCCAGGTGTCTGAGTTTTTGCCAGCAGATTCTTCTTATGAGCAAGGAACTTTAAGAGAGGAATGTGTGCAGTTCGCACTAGCGCATGCCAATCAATTTGATTCACTTTTAACTTTTCTTGATGAGCTATCTGAGTTTTCCAGGTTCAGGACACTTGAACTACATCTGCAATCACATCTGCTAATTCATCTAGCCGACCTTGTGAAAGTATATTCAAGCTCCAGGCTTGAGAAACTATTCAGTGATGTGTCTAATTATTTGTTTTCTGCTACTTCATACCCAGACTCTGATACCTATCAAAAGAGCTTGCTACGCACCTCGTGCTGGAAAGGTCTTCATCAATGTCTAGATGAGGTCTCTTTCGATGCTCTTGACATAACTCTAGTTCAGAGGTGCATGGAAGTGTTATTTTCATTGTTGCCAGTGTTACAATCCTCTGGAAGCATGGTGTCAAAGCATGAAAATTCCGTAGAGGAGTGGTCTGAGGCTGTGAGATGCCTAGGGAAAGCGCCACAGAATTGGTTGTTTGATTTCCTCAAGGTAAGTATGCATTTAATTATAATCTTAATGTGAATTCTCCTGTACTTATAATCTTGTGGCATAATTCATCTTTTCCACTGTCCTTCATGAATTGTTTAAGCGTGTTATTTTATTCATCCAAGTTCCAACTTTTCATCCTCCTGTGCTTTGATCAAGCATATGGTATATGAGATGTCTGTTTAAAAACCTTTAAGCTGTAACCTTCGCCTTTATATACATGTTATAGGTTTCACACGAGAGTTTTGTACAAGATGTTGACAAGTCTATTGAGGTCTGCAAAAAGATTTGTGCTAAGGCAAAGCTAGTGAAGAATGGTTCTCTGCCATTTCTTGAGCTAGGAAAGATGAAATCTTACATATTGAATTCCAAATTACAAGGTCAGTTTACTAAGCCGCAGTATGCTATTATTTTTTAGTCAACTCGTTTTAATTGTTTTTGGAATTAGCCCCTTTTTTAACCGGGAGCTGCTGTAAATTCATTTGCTTGATAACTGTCTGGAAAGCATATTGAATTGCAAAGGCACAGCAGGTTTATGCTAAAGAATCATTTTTTTAGGTCTGTGGGATGTGCTCGTTGAAGTTGTGGCAGCTCTGCACCACGCAGAAGGGAGTGTCAAAAGGCAGTGGCTTGTTGATGCTGTTGAAATTAGCTGTGTGTCCCCTTATCCCTCCACGGTAAGAATTAAGTACTGATATCTTCAGTGATGGATTTTATTGCATAAAGTATTAGGTGAAGCACTCAGCACTAAAGACTGAGGCCAAGATATTATTAAATCGTTGCATTTTGAAGTTTGCTTTTCTGTTTTTCATTTGTGTGTTGGAGTAACAAGAGAAATTTCTGCTGTAGAGCCTACTTGGTATAGGGAGGGAATCAAAGTCTCTATTATTCTAAAACTGAAAAATATAATTGCTGTTAAACTTTAATTATTATGCAACAGTTTTTATTTATCTTTTATCTTTCTATCAATTTTTTAATTGGGACACAAGTTCATTTTCTGCTGACATCGTCATTCCCTTTTCCTTCCTATATGTAATATTATACACAGAAAATTAGCCATAAGCCGCCATCACATTAATCAATCATTTCAGTTGCTTGCTATATCCTTTACACGCATATCCTTCTTTATCCAACAGGTTCTGCAGTTTATTGGTCTGCTATCAGCTACCTGTTGCAAATACATGCCTGTTATGATTGTGGATGAACAAACAGTTGTGAATGATATTCCAGTCACCCTTACGTCTCTTTTAGCAGACCAAAGTTGGGATGTTGTTGCAGAATCTGTTGTTTCCCATCTCTGTTCATCAACAGAACGTATATTCTACTGGGCTGCACAGATAGCAGATGGCACTTACGTGCCTGGTGCCCAGCCCATTGATGAAAGTGAGGATCATATGGCTAAATTGTTATTGCAAGTAACGCATCATACATGCGTGTTATTAAAAGGCTACTTGCCATTAGATAAGCAGCTTAAGCTTGCCAGTTTTGTTGTTGCTTAATATATGATGAACTATTACAGAAGTTCCAGGATATTGTTGAAGCAAAAGCCAGAATTATGTCCTCTCATAAATCCTTCATTTAGAGGAATACAAGTTTCATGCTACATATATCAGATGACGTTCTGGGAAATTTTCATGTGTTCTATCATGGAATTTTGTAAAACCCATGCGTTGTTTGCTTCGACCATGAAGAAACTGTGGTCTTCATTTCGCATTTGCGAATATCCTGCCAATCTCTGAATTATGTGGTGAAATATAGCGTTGTGAAAAGGTCAGCCATGACAGAAGTTAGGTGGGTAAGCATGTGTCGTTTTATTGTATTCTTATACAAGTCTGTTATACTGAATTACTGCAATCTTTGGTACAGTACTTGTAGATATTTTGCATGTTGTAAAATCATTTAGCCAATATTCATGTACATTATACAAACTCTAGCTCTAACGCAGCAGCGGATTTTACATCATTGACACCTAGGTATTTTATATGGATATTTTCCTTCTCGGTCTGTTTATCAGTTGTATCTGATGTAACCTGCATTGTTTGGGAGAGGGAGAAGGAAAAGAGTGGGTAAGAACACATGTAACTTTTAATTTTCTAACACACAATGAAATTTGGCATTTTGTTTTCGTCTTATAATATGCTTAAGCTGAAAAATAAATAGTATCTCTTCTTTTTCTTTTATATTCTCTCAAACATTTTCATGTGTCTCCGGGATGTTTTGCTAATGGAGTCTTGAATTAACTTCAATTAACGAAATATGAAATTGGAAATTAAGGAATTTTGTTTAAATTACAATATAACGTATTTTTTTATTTTAAAAATTAGAAGTATAATTATTTAAAATAATAATTTTTAAAATAAAAGGACCCATGATTTTTGTATGAGTGTAATTTATCATTTAAAGTTATCTATTTGGTTCAACAGAAGGATGAGAAGGGAGGGGAAAAAAAGACAAATTGACAGGAATATTTTCATTTATAGCAAGCAAACTAACAGAAACGGAACTAAGATTTACAAAACAATCTTTAGAAGTGACTTTAACGCTACCAAAAGAAAAATCTTTTTTGTCAAATAATAGTGAGGGGTTCATCAAAGTTTGAAGAAATTTATTGGAATTTTTTTTCAATACAGTGAATGCTCAACACAGAATTGGTCTCAGAATAGAGATGCTCCGAGGTGTCTAGAGTGAAAGTTAGAACCTGTATTGTTCAGATTTAAAAAAAAAAAAAAGAAATCTTAATATTTTGCACTTGGACGCGATGCGATGGTTTTGATTTGATTAATCTATTTATCAATCAATGTCCAGGTAAAAAAAAAAAAAAAAACTAATCAATCAATATTGAATTATTTATTACATGCTCAAAAATTCAGTGGAGGCAAAGAAAAAAAAAAGATTTTAAAGTTTAACAACTGTAAGAATTTAGCCGTTACTCCTCATACAAATTATAGTTCAACAGCTGTTATTAATCCACCACCGATCAATTTACAGTTTTACAGCTGTTAATTTGTTTGGAAAAAACAAAATAACTGTTTTCCTTGGCCAACAAGTAACAGCTGTATCTTCTTCTTCTTCTTCTTCTTCTTCTTTTTTGGCGAAAATTTCTAAACACTAACAGCTGTTCTTTAAAAAAAAATTAGACAATCTAAAACCTCCGTTCCTTACTTATTGCCGTTGGCCAAAAAATGAAAAAACAGCAGTTACTTTGTTTTTTCCAAACAAATTAACAGCTGTCTTGGAAAATTATAGCCGTTGTTCGAAGCCTCGAACTTGAATTAAGGAAGTAAGGAACCGACCCTATAACTATTTTGCGATTGTCTTGTTCTTATCATCTGCAGAGACCCTCAACACTTTCCTTATATAGTTCTAGATTCGTGACGGTCTTGCTTTGCTATATTTCTTCCTCGTGTATTTTTCTGTTTATCAATCGAGTAATAACTTCTCCCTTTCGTCTCCTGGACTGGTGCTTAATTCATTCGATTGCCTTTTACTTCCTCCCGATCCCTACTGAGTATCATTTTGTTTTTCTTTCATCTGCCTTGCAACGATTCCACTTGTAGTTCAAACTATCTTGACTATGCTTATCAACAAAGATGCTGAAGGGGAGGTACTCTGGTATAGTGTCTGTATTATTTATATTTCGTTTGTTGTTTTTGACTTGTTGAGATGGTCTCTCTTGTGGATTTTTGTAGTACTAATGTGGTTTTATAGGATAGGTCTTCAAGTATCTCTTGAAGTCATAGATCTTTATGTTTTAACTTTGAACTGATGTCGCATTTACTTTAAAAGTGGCATCCATAATTACATTAAGAAGCCATCATTCATACTTCATTTTGGCTGTGTTATATTTTTTTCAATCTTGATGGCTTCAAATAATATTGGAAAATATTACTCATTTCAGGCTCATAATTCTGACGTGTTGTTTGTAGAAATTGAGAATTTATTCGGGGCCTTCTGGCCCATTTGCAACTTCTCCTTCAAATGTTAGAGCAACGGGTTTCATGTCATGAGTCTTGTGTGATCTGCATAACTACCAAACAAGTTGTAGTTGTTTTATGAAGTAAAGATTTATGTTAAATTCAAGTAATAGTATTGTTCTTTCTTCTATGTTTCTCATGCTACAAGTTGGGTTCGTCTGTCTATGACTCTCAATGATCGAGCTTCTGGGTGTTTGGAAATAGGTTTTTCATACAATGTTTGCGTTACTGTTTAATGCTGCAGAAACGTGCTTCTTTTGTCATAGAAAGTTCAAAAATGGAAATGAAAAAGTAACTACTCAAGAATATTTGAATGATAGTTGACTGGAGAATTATCAGAAGAAGGTATTTGGAGTCGGGATTGTTACCTTTTTTCTGGTCACATTTTTTAAAACCCTTACTCGGTACTTTATGCACAGCAAGAACCTTCTTCCACGGGCCTTCTGCAAAAAGGCTCCATCTATGAAGCATATTTGACATCATTGGTGCAAGAGATGTTTCTTCAGGCGCAAAATTCTGATGATATTCAACGGCAACCGTTTGCTTCCTGGGTTCTCTTTTCTTCAATATCATTCACTATTCAAGGAACTTTTGGATGTTTATGGTCATCAAAAAGCAGCAGAGACTAATTTAAAATCTGTTGCTCAAATATTTTCTGAGAACAATGTGGTTTGCAACTTAGCTTGTGGCGTACAGATTTAAAAAATGATGCAGGTGCTTCCCTATAGCTTTTTACTGAATTGTTTTCAGATTCTTTTAATACTTGTATCTTTTTAGTTGCCTTGTGTCAGTGTTTTTCTTGGGTCTTTCTTCCTTTAAATGAAATTAATATTGCATTATATGCTTGGATATGAGTCATCTGCTTTTGCATAGCAACTAACATGATCTCCATTGCAGTTGCTTTTGTCAAATTTATAGAAGTCATCATTATAGCGCTTTATCATATAATTGCTTGTGTGACTTATGGACGAGTGACAACAAATGTACATTTAATTTATAGTTGCTTCTGATCCTCATAGTATACTCTTCTCAAGATATTGTTGCATTTGGGATTGTAAAATTTATCCTGAATTTAGTAACTGATACTTTAAGGGAAATATTTTCATTTAATAACTTGTTACGAAATGGATTTGTAGGTTTCTTCTCTCTACGTGTTATGCACCATTTTGAGGGTCAATAAAGTTTTATATTTTGATACCTCCTCTAGACGTGCATATATCTAAAGGGGATTTACATTTGGTCTATTGCTAAGACTTTCTGTGTCTTTGCTACTTGTAATCCCCATACATGAACAAAATGGTTTATGTCAAAATCTTTTGTGGCTTACAAGAAAAATTTTAAAGGATTTAATCTTCCGTGGCTCAGTAATGCACTCCTATAATGCATAATTGCATTTGAATATTTTGAAGGCTTTTCTAGATGTATTGGAATATACCATGCTCTTGCATGTATGAGTTGTGACCTGTTGATTTGATGTGTGTTGCTTACTGGATAAATCAAAATGATTCATCCCTATGTGTAAATGTTGGTATTTTTACATCTATCTATAATGCATTCCTATGAGGCTGAATAGCTCTTGTACTTTTTGATGCCTCCTCTAGATGTGCATAAGTATAAGCAGGGGACTACTTTTTGCACATTGGTGTAGATTTTTCATGTCTGCACTACTTTTAGTACCCCTAACATGGATGCATAAAGTGTCACTGTTTTTCAAATGCCCCTCACATGCAAGTGCTATGATTTATCATAAGTCATAGGCCAGGCCTAGTAGAGTAGGGTTAATGATTATTTCTGAGATGAGATATGCATATATCTATATAGCGGTACCGATAACTTTTTTTGAGATGGATCATTTTCTCATCGGCTAAAAACTTGTGGGGTTCTCTCCTTCATGCCTGTGCATCACTTTTATTGGGGTACCTGCAGATACAAAGATGCAAATGCACGAGTAATGGGTTGGTTTATTGCCATTAGTGGAGATGATTAAATTATATCACTCTTTCTCGATGGATAGAGATTTGATGCAGTGTCACGTTTTGGCATAAAAGATGGTGGCTTTAGCTTTTTGAGCGACAACCCACTACTACTTTTTCGTTAAGTTCATTTGTTGAATGATCCACGAGGAGTTGCTCTAGAAGCAATTGTTGGTAGAATAAAAATGGTTGCCCGCTATCCTAAAATGAAATCATATCCCCTTGCTCAAGTCCGCTCCCTAGCTGACTCTGCTACTATTGCAAATATTGAGGATACTGATAATTTTTAATTTTAGAAGAGTTATGTACATCATAATACATGGGAAGATGGTGGATATAAATTTTGAAAATAGAGAGATTGTTAATGTAATTTTAATGAAGCTCATGAATGGTTTCTATAACTTGAACTCCTTTTGTGATATATGCAATTGGGTGACAAGTATTTCCCTTTGGAGAAGGAGATCACAGCAACAAGGGTTCTTTATCATTATTGTTGTTATTATTTTGGCATATATGTTCTTATTTATATATATGTTATGTAGAAATGTTTGGTATCATCTGTTATTATTCTGCTACACAGGCCATGCCTCGGCCGAAAATGACTTTCTATTTGAGAAAGTCAGTCTGGTGTTGGGAAGAAAAATATGTTACTGATAAAGAAGCAGTCTAACCAACTAAGCTAATGCGAATGCCTGATTTTGATGTTTTGTCACCATGCAGCGACTTCAAAATTATACTTTTGGTAAGCAGGGAGAGTTGAGCCTACCATTGAACAGCTTCATGTTCTCTTTGCAATTGATTTAAGAATTTCGTCATTTCATATATGCAATTGATTTCAGATATTCTCATGCGATACTCAAGAGGGAAATCTGCACTTATGTTTGGTTTGACAGAAAAGCAGCACAAGTAGCAGCTCAGCGAGTCTCTCACATATTCATGACTTTCGGTCACTTGAATGCATTCAGTAATAGTAAAGAATAGCAAGATCGATTGAGGAAAGCCTCTCTATCATGCAGTGACAAGAAAATGCAATCATACATCCAATATGGTGGTATGCGAATAAACTTTGTTCTGTTTTCGTAGAAAATTGAAGTCTTTCTTCAAAGCAATAACAATGATTGTGGGTGAGTTTCCATTAGTGATTAGGTGACTACTAGAAAATGGCTTTTATTTATTGTTGGCTTT